AGAATTTGCCTTGATCGTAAAGAACAAAATCCTGTTTTCTATCACAATTTGGGGCGCTAAACGACTGAACTTCATGTTTACCATCAGGAGTGAGGACCTTGATAGTTTTCGCATCCGTGTTAAAACATGCGATCATGTGACCATCACATTCAAAAACAGCACAACCTTCTTCCCCCGCTTCAAAGCTCCTGATGTGCTTACCATCTTCATTACATAAAAAAAGGTTATCTTCCTCTTTTATATTGATAAAGAAAAACTCGCCATCACAAGCGTTTAGGGCAATCCAAGGCTTCTCATTGAGAAATTTTCCTTCAAAGTCAAAAACTTGAGACCTACGATTGTTTCTGTCAAACACCGCAATCCTTTCAGTTTTGTCATTCACTATAATATGAACAGGTTCGTTGAATTGTCCTTGCTCCTCTCCTTTTGATCCAAATTGAAACGCAAATTGATACCGATGCGGAATCACCTGCACAACCCAGGGACTACCAGTCAGCGGCTGTCCGTTAACTTGGATGTCTACTCTATGTTGTCCAACACATTGTGGTGTGTATGTTACTGTGTACTTGCCGTCTTTGGTGTCTTTTATCTCTGTTTCCAGTTGATCATCTGCTGGAGCTGAAATGTTAACTTTTACTTGATCTTCTTCATGATAAAACTGCTTTCCATCGGAATTTCTGGTTACAATGGTGAAGTTTGTTTCCACTTTCTCTCTTTTCTCTTTCTGGTTTTCAATTTCAACTAACGACATTAAAGGATCTGTGTCACTGACCACAACGCGATCCAAAATCTTCACTTTCTCTTCCACCATATAATGCACGTGTGAGGGTTTATAAATTTCAGGCTTTTTCCCACTCAGGAGTTCTTCATAGCGTCCAATAATGGCCTGGTTAGTTTGTAGAATTTCAGCACTGATGTTCCTTTTGACGATACTCTCGCCTTGTTCAACGCAGCTTTTCAATTGAGCCAGAGCAAACTCAAAGTTTTCTAGTCTTGTTGCGTGATGTTTTTGTTGCCCTTGATGAATTTCAGCAAAGTTGGCCTTCATAGTTTTCTTATGTTCTTGCAATTGACGGATACACTCGTCCACAGCGTCTGTCATCTTTTCTTCTGCTGAAATTACTTCTTTCCTACTCTTTTCCATTAACTCAGTTTGCTTCCTTAGCTTGTTGTCGTAAATAACTGTTTCCGCTTTGGCTTTCTCCAAAGCGTCCTTCATTTGTATCTTCTGTACTTGTGCGGCTTTCTGAGTGTCTGTTATGGTGTGTCGATTATGGCTAACTACACTGCACTTAATGCAAATAGGAACCTTGCATTCTTCACAATAAAATTCCAGCGGCTGATTTTCGTGATATTGCTGTGAACACATGACGGGCCTGTGGATCAACTCTTCCACATCTTGCGCTTGTAATTTCTCTAACACAACATTGCGATGACCTCTTGAGGTTTTCACTCTCTGATGAGCTTCAAAGCAGGAAGTACAGAGAAATAAAAGGCACACAAAACAATAACTGGATGCTGCGTTGTTCTCATCACAACTGCCACATTTTTGGGCCTGTGTGGTGCCATCTTTCAGTGCAAGAACATCAACCAGGCGGTTGAGATGGAAAGACGCGGGCAAGTTCTTGAACGAGTCGCCTTCGGGGATTGCAAAAGATGTCTGACAAACAGGACATTTGATCGCCGTTTGAAGCTGTCTTCTTGCAAAATTTGCATGTTTGTCAAGACACTTAAGGCAGAATGAATGAATACATGGCAAAGTCTTGGGATTGTTGACTGTCTCTAAACACAGAGGGCATTCAGCTTCTTTCTTAAGATTTGTAAAAAGCTGTTGAACTTCCATGGCGAAGCTGACAATGCGAGACAAGACAGTTCTTTGATATCATTTGATGTGGGTGCGGTGCGCATAAAATAACAAAGTGTAATCAAAACGATTTCGGACTTGAACTTGTGCCAAGGTTGGTCTGCTATACAGCCGTTTTAGTATCGTCAAGCAACGTTGCGTGACGACACTAAAAAAGGTTGTGTAGCAGACTAGCCAACGGTGTACCATCAGGAAACTGTTTGATGGAAATCCTTGAGTATTGAAGCCAAGGTCACAGCCTCACCGATGGCATTACCCTTATAAAGTCACTCTTTTTCACTTCTTTCACTTTTGACGGCTGAAGTATTCAGCGAAAATCCATTGAGGCTTCGTGAAGCAGAACCTTAAAATTAGTTAACTTGCCAAAACTGGGGGTGACGAAGAAAAGAAAAAGAAAGTTGTTGTCTTGTGTTGCCGTCCTCGACAAAACGTGAAATTAGGCACTTCAAGTTGTAGTCGTGCAACAACTGCTAAGAAATGTACAAAAAAGCGTGATGCACGCGCAAAGTTGTTGTTTTGCTGATATAAACCTATTGCTTTTTGCCGTTGTCGTTGCCGTCGCCGTCGTCTTTGCTTAAGCTCCCTAACAAGTGCTCTGGCCAAAGTCGCGAATTTCTGCAGGCGTTCGTAAGTTTAAGTTTTCAACGCATCATTCAGAAACCTCGATAATAAAGTTTGCCAGAATATTTGGGGTTGCGGACGGAAATGAAAAGACAAAAAGGAAACGCCAGGAAATGAAAAATGTGGACAATAAGGTTATAGTGGCGAGTGGAAGGCCTAAACTTTCTCCTTGTGCACAGTTGCACACAAGGCTCAGGCGCCAGCAGTGCATCTTAATTTGTTTTTTCTTCTGGTTTTCATCAGTTTTTTAAGACAAATATATTACTGGCTTAATCCGAATGTTGACGATGTTTTCCCGCATTTTTCTCTTAGCAGTGACCCTAGCCCTTAAGGTGATGTTACACGAGCCCATTCGCAACGACGACTTTTTGCGCAACCCAGTGTTGCAACATTGTTGCGACATTGTTTCGAATAGTTACAACATTGTTCCAACATTGCAACACTGTGTTGCTCTAAAAATCGTCGTTGCTAATCGTCCCGCGTAACATCACCTTTACGACAATGCCCAATTAACAATCAATTCGGTCAGAGTTTTGGTTCCGACGCATTCCCTTGGTCTGAGTGGTCTCTGACCGGTTGGTCCGGTATGGCGGAAAGCACCCAAGGTCTCTATTTCCTCCATAAAACGTGTAACCAGGAAGTTTCTGGAAGTTTCACATTGTACTTGTGCAATACAACGGCAAAGAAATGTACAAAAAAAGTGCGTTGCATGCACAAGTTGCTTTTTTGCTAATTACACCTATTGTTGTTTTTCTCCGTTCTCGTTGCCTTCGCCGCTTAGCATAACACGTTTGCCAACATTTAACGAATTAACGAGATGGAATAAGCGTGATAAAGTTTGAGGCGGCGCGACTTCACTTTTTAAGTGACGTTTTTGTAGCCGTCGCCGTCGTCGTGAGCGGTAGTAGGGACTGTTCTTTAAAGCGATTGTTCCTACCCACTTACTTTGTCAAATGTAGGCGAACCCTCCTGAAGCTGAATTTCAAGTGACCATATTCAGCTGCATATTCAAGCTCAGGAGGAGAAATAAAATTCCGTCGTTGCTTGTTTACGTCCTCCTTAAAACGGGAAATTAGGCATTTTGACGTCGAGGTCGTGCAAAAACAGGAAAGAAATGTACAGAAAAGCGTGATGCACGTAATAATAATAAAAATAATGGAATTTATATAGCGCTTATACATCGCTGTTCTAAGCGCTTTACAATGTAAAAAAGGACATAAGAATATCATTAAGCACAAGCTTACATACAACCCTACTGTACACATCTTAAAAAGGAAAGAAACAAAAAAAACAAACAAACAAATCAAAAACAAAAACAAAAACAAATATGACGAAACTAAATGTCATATACCTTTTTAAAAAGAAACGTTTTCAACTTAGATTTAAAAAGATTAACATCAGAACAAGCTCGAATTTCAAAGGGGAGCTTGTTCCATAGTCGGGGGGCAGCAACGGAAAACGCTCGCTGGCCATAAGTTTTCATGTTAAAATTTGGTTCTTCAAGGCGTAAATGATCCCTTGATGACCGTAATGTCCTTGCTTGATGGTAAAATTTTAAAATATCTTCAAGATATGGGGGACCGGAGCCATTCAATGTTTTAAAAGTTATTAAATTTATTTTAAAAACAATCCTCTCCTCAACAGGAAACCAGTGAAGATCTCTTAGAGTCTCGGTGATGTGATCTCGGTTTTTGAGACCGGCGATAATTCGAGCAGCCGCATTCTGAACGGACTGCAACTTAGCTATGTCCCGTTTTTGGGCACCGAAAACAAGAGAATTACAAAAGTCCAACTTCGAGCTAACAAAACTGTGAATTAGAATTTCTGTGGTACTTGTACTGATGTATTTTCTTATTTTAGAAATATTTCGTATGTGATAGAAGGCACCCTTAACTATTGTATTAACATGAGGTGATTGCGAGCCTGTTGAGGGGGCATGATGTTGGGCGGGGGCAACGAATGACGAAAACGGGAGTGCAAAAAGAGAAATTCTGATTTATCATTGTTAAGCTTTAACTTGTTGGCAATCATCCACAAATTGATGTCAGCAACGCAGTTCTCAAGACGTTGTTTTGCAGCCACTAGATCAGAGGTGTCATTGCAAGCAAAAGATGAATAAAGCTGCGAGTCATCAGCATAAAAGTGAAACGACAAGCCATGCAAAAAACGTAAAAAGTTGTTGTTTCGCTCATTAAACCTTTCGGTTTTTTTGACGTTCTCGTTGCCGTCCGCGTCGTTGGATCTTAAAGTCCCCACAGTGAGTTTTAATACGCAACAGGACGGCAAAACGCTTGTACGTGACAAACGTTACAGGGCTACTTGCGTGTTTCGTCATTATCTTTACCTAACACCAATGTTTTCTGGTCTTTACAAAAAGATCTGTTTAAAGGAGTGTGAAGTTTGGCGAAAAGTTATTCACGCGTGTCACACAAGGTTTGTCGTCCGTGCCGTTGCGTAAGTTCAGTGGTGGTCAATGCTTACCCAGAAGTCAATGCTATCGCAGACTGAATCAAAGATGGTGGACGAAGTGGAGTATTCGCAGTTCTTGGCGGTTCATAAAGGCCAGTTGATAATGGCCGACATTCCCGAGCAGTATTGGACAACTTTACATAAAAAGCTAAAAAATGAGGCAAGTTTCATGCCAGTTAGTGAATACATAGCCGAATTTGGTCCTTATTTTTAAGTGTTGCAAGTAGTGAGTGCACGTGGTATTTGTAGTGTTCAAGGACATTTGCGCAAAAATATCCTCACATTGATTTTCTGCAGTCATTTAGGGTAATACCTTTATTATCGTATTGCTGATCAGGTCCAATTTGTTCGGAAGGTGGATAACCAGTCCACTGGATAAATCTCTGTTCAGTGGGTATGCAATAGTATCGGTTTCCCTAAGCCTAAGCTTACTTATCTGCAGGATAACAATAATATTTTCCCGGTGAATAACACTATCCAACGTTTGAGTATCACTACGCAATGCCTGTTATTCACCAACACAAGCAGGTTGGTTGCATTTGGTTTCTTGGATTTCAATCTCAAAGCCAAACTTCTTGGTTATGATGTTTGATCTGCTTGCTCTTGTTTGGCAACACTCAAGTTCTATATTTTTGGGTATGAAGATGGCAAATTTCTACCAGAAGGTTCTTACATGTACATGCTAAGTAATTGCACCCTTTTACTCTTATTGCACTGTAAAAAGGGTGTATTCATTTACTGTTATTAAATTTTATTAGATTTATGATGCTGGGTCATACTTTACAATGGCTGTAGATGAAGAGGGTAGTTTGAGAGTTTTTGTGACCACTGATGATGGAATAAAGACCTCCAATCCAGACTGGTGAGAAACACACGATCATCTCATTTTACCTTGGACTGATACCCACCCTAAGTGTTGTAAGTGGTACTCTGCCCATAGTGGGGAGGGGGGAGGGGGGTACTCCCTATATTGTCTATATACAGTAGGAAGGCCCTACCCAGAAGGGGTATCTTTTTAAGGCTTCTGGTACATGAAAGGGATTATGAGATTTCACTATGGTAGTATATGAAAGGGTAGACTTTCAATTTGGCTTTAAAAGAGCTTTCTTTTAATTTTTTTGAAAATCAACATCTAATTCACCTGTAGCTGTAAAAATGCCATAACAGCCTCCTGTTTTAGCAATTTTGTTCATATTAAAAAGATGGGGCCTTTTACTGTAGTTGGAAGAGATGTTGCAGTTTTTCTTTGTAGGTATGTGAATTAGAAAGCTAAGGGGAAGCAATGGAAGCATATATGAAAGGGGTACCTTTTTTGTCATAAATGGTGTATAAGAGGGGAAAGGGAACAGTGGTCAAAAATCTACCTTTTTTATGAGTCCCACACTTTGGATTAATGGTCACCTAGCCTGTGTAGCAAGCATTTCCAGTTGAGTTATAACGCGGAATTTTGAGCGGGAGCCAAAAAAAAAATGGAAGGGGGAGGGGGAGGGGAGAAGAGGAAACGCTTGCCCGCAAACCCCACGATTCTGGAAAACGCCCCTTGATATTTCACGGTTTGGTTCATTTGTAAATTGACAGCTCGTCAAGATAGATAATGAATAGATTACCAGATTTGAAAAATTTACTGTTCCTTAAAACGAACTGTAATAAAAAGAAGCTTTACAATAAAAGAAGGTTGAAACTCTAAGCGATTGCTGTGGAATTTCTTGTTCTTTATAGCTGAGTTAAAATTTGAACGTTATGTGGCTTTATCTCATCTGAAATCTTGTCAAAACGTTGCAAAGAAATGATATGTCCGGAACAATTCGCTCTGCCGGTTATGAGTTTTGCAGAGCAGCTGCTCTCCACAGGCCAGCCAGTGTCGAAAAGTTCTCTACAATACATGCCACTCAATTTCCAATCACTTGTCCATGGCGGCTCTAGCTAGTGTCTAGTACTCGATGTTATCTCCAACAAAAAGTCCATTTTTTCCAGTCAGATACGCATACCATCACTCCCAATAAATTCGCCTTCACTAGTCTCCACTGCTCGATCTCCAATTATACTTTTGATCAAAGGGACTCAGATCTGATAAACCTTTGCACAAACATGATTCAAATAAATATCAGGCCAAAGCATTTGTAATCTGCGACCACAAATCAGATCAGACCAGATCTGTGACGCACATAAACAAAACATACTTGGTTTGATTGATGTATTGATTGCTATTTAATCAACCCTACCAGCACCACACCAATCAAAAGCTGCGTTCTTGGGCGTATGCAGTTTTTCAAAATCATGGGGTTTGCGGGCAAGCGTTTCCTTTTCTCCCTTCCCCCTCCCCCGTCATTCCTTGTTTTTTACTCCCATCCCAACTTTCTCGATGAACTCACGCGGAAACGCTTGCTATGCAGGTAATGGTCACCGGAAACTTAAGAAAACTTATTACACTTTTTGTCTTAGGGGGTAACTGTGTCACCATGCAATACCCTGAAAGCAGTGGTTTCTCCAGGCTGGACGCTATGCTACAAACAACTGTTCCAAAAGATAGTTAATATCTGTCCATGGCACTGGATGGTGGCATGATCAAAGAAGTAGAGGGTTGCTCATAGTGGTTTCTCTCCCTTCAAAGCGTAGCATCGGTCCTGGAAAAAACACTCACCAATAATCTATTCTTGAAAGATAATTGACATTGCTTGATAGTGCCTTGATTGTTAGCTTGTGGTTTCCTTAGATTGAACTAGTTATTGATGATCAAATCTGCTTTTGTTATTAGTGTTTTCTTAATTGATCATTCTTGGACCTATGAAGTGAATTATGCTCGATCCCAGCTTAAAGCAGTCCCTGGCCTGGCAGACAGGATGGCCTTGTTAATGGGAGTAACAAGTAAGTCACTTAACATGGGTGCATTTAGCAGGAGGCCATGAAGTGGGGGGGGGGGGGGTCACCCTTTTGTCTGAAAGTGTATTAAATAAAATTAATGTTAAATAACCTTCCCCATCCCAAGATGGTGTCATATTAACTTCCAACCTCTCTGCCCTACATTAGGGACCTTAACATCTGAGGACGGCGCCGGCAGAGATGTCGCTGAAAAAGTGAATTCTCATTCTTTCAATCGTCATCGGGATTACTCCAAGTCACTAACTTTGTCAAATTTACATGTAGGTGAACCCTCTTAAAGTTGAATTCGTAGGAAGTATATCCAAGTTCAGAAAGAGAAGGGAAATTCTGTCGTCACTTGTGTACTTTTTCTGTACATCATGAAATTAGGCATTTTCACGTCGTAGTCGTGCAGTGACGGCAAAGAAATGTACAAAAAAGCGTGATGCACATGCAAAATTGTTGTTTTGCTAATTAAACCTATTGCTTTTGTGGCGTTCCCGTTGCCGTCGCCGTCGTCGGATCTTGCCCCTAATGACCACTTTCTCCAACATACCTGTTGAGGAGGGACTCATCTGTGCATGTATATTTTATTGACCAACAAGCTTGGATTTAAATAAAGTATTTCTGATATAGCCAAAACAAAATCTGTTTAGATAGGAAAAAGCAAATTACTGATCTTGAGGGAAGGGGTTAGTCACTCAGAACACAGTATTGGCTTCATCCAGCACACTCACAGAGATGCTATTTTTTCCTATGTAATAAACAGAAGGTTGATAGTTCTTGATGTACCAGCTACTTTTATGCCATTGTGGATAGTCAGAAATAAATTAATAAGTATTTTCTTTAATAAATGGGAGAAACTACATGTACATGTACTTCACTGTGTGTATGTTGCAGGTCAATTTCATTTACATGTAAGGTTAATTTTTATTTAAAATGTACATTTGGTTATATAGTCTCAATTCCCTTTGTCTCCTAGCTTTAGAACACAAAGAGATTGAGAATCAGTTTGGGTTAAAAACATTTACATGTACATGCACATACAGCAAAGTAGTTGTCAAGCATAATTGTCACAATTTTATTTTTGTTTCTATTAATAACCATTAGATGGAGAATCCAGTGCAGTGAGTGAAGAAGACAAAATTGAAAAAATCTTTGAGAAAATGTGGAGGTTTGTTATTTATTTATAAAAAATGTAGTTTAAGTTCACAATTTGATGTCTTACCTTTGTCTTGTGGCTTTATTAATGTATTCTAAGAAGCATTTGCTATATTATTTTCCTATAATGAGTATCATTTTTTATACGTGTACCCCATGTTTATCATCAATGGTTTTTTCACCATGATGGGCAAAAAAGATTCACAATTAACTTCTTTGTATATGTTGTAGTTAATTTTTTCCTCTGGTTTTTAATTGTTTTTCTTTTGTTTTAAGGTATGGTAATGTGTGCTAAGGAATTTGAAACAAAAGAAAAATAAAAAATTAACTATATTAACAGCAAACATCCTCCAAATTAGGCCAACATTCTGGTTAAGAGCATTCGCTGGGGGTTTTATCTCAATCAAAAAAAGAAAAAAAAATTGAATGAATAGTAATAGTCATTGCTCTTCTGGGAAAGAAAGTGTTTTAACTGTTCTGGTACATGTATCCTTACGCAGGACAAGAGAATATAAACTCTAATTATCTCAGTTTGCACTTTAGTGAAGAATACTATCACATTCATTGGTCAGATTTCTGTGATGTTATTGCAATTGAAACAAAAAAACAACAACAACAACCTAAAATGCAGTCAAGGGGTACAGAAAATGTTTGATTAAAAGTTTCAAGGTTATCTATTCAAACCAACCAAATTCATAGCAAATTTTTAAAGTTTTTGCATTTGCCTGCTGGAATTTGTTTTAAGTTTAAAAACAATGAAAATTCCTTGTAGGCAAATGTGACCCCTACATGTACACATATATATAAACCCAAATTATAAATTGCTTCTCTTTCAGTTATAATCACAGTTACCGTATAAAGATGATTGTAAGTACATTTTGTATTTGTCTAAGACAAATGTAAATGAAGTACAGTGAAAACCCACCTGTAAGAACCTAGATTAGGTTCTTATAGAAATTTTATTTAGTGCGATTTTGGGCTACTTAGGTTCTTAAATAGGTTCTTAATTTGATAGGGGTGCCAGCGATCAGCACAGATAACTACTACAGGGCATATGTGATATGGAATATGTTGCTGTATTAAATAATTATCTAGAATACAGTTTAGATGATAACCATGCAGAAATTTTATCTTTCCAAAGTACTAGCATGAATGTCTTTCATGCTGCAGTGTCCATAAAGTGCAGTGTTACACTTTGAATCTTGCTGACTGAAACCTAGACTTTTTTTTTCCGGCTGTATTTTCTTCTCTGCCTTCATTTTTGTAAACTGAGAACCTATTGAAAATTTTAGGCTAAGTAGGTTCATATGAAAAGGGGGGTTTTTAAAATAAAAATTTTAGCCGAACAGGTTCTTTTATTTTAGGTTCTTATATGTGGGGTTTTTACTGTAATATAGTCAACTCTCTCTCTAAGACGGACAGCATGGGGACTGGCTCTGACTGTCTGTCCTAGAGAGGTGTCTGGCTTATGTAAAGCTGAACCCATTCACAAGGAATACAAGTTTTGTCAGACAGGAAAATTTGCTCCACTTTGTCTTTCTTCATGCAAGGGTGAAAGTGGGTATCAGCAAAACTGACCAAGATGCCACCATGAGGTACAACTGTAGAGTAGCAACTTTTTCTGTGTGTTGCATGTTAAAGAGTTGATGAGGACACTGGGGTGGGAGCCCAGGAGGTGTGTAGGAAGCAGGAGATAAAAGGGTGTTTAATTAAGGGGCTGTTCTACAGGGATGTGAAGCAAGACAAATAAGGGTACACTATTTATTTTTGTGAATTATGCGATGATACTTAATAATTATATATATTTTTTCTTCCGGCCATTACAGGGTTACGATGCCAGTGGCCTGGCTTATGAAAAGGATTATGATAAAGATGAAGAATATTCTCCTTTGTGGTTTGTCATGGATGAGTTTGGTTCATGTATAAGACATTCAGATGATCCAACTTTTGGCATGAGCTTTATGAGTTATGTTCCTCTTGGAATATTTTTCTCAATAATTTGGCCATTGAAGGATCTGGAATATGGAGGTTTGTTTCAGGCAAACAAAAAACGTCGAACTTCACATGTGATGAACGTAGTGCTTATAAGCAAGAACAATAGATTTTACTCTCTTAGTAGTTTTAGGTTCATCACATGTGAAGTTTGATGTTTGACCTGGTGTTCATTTCTCAAAACACCCGAAGAGTTTTCAGGGCTAAGAGTGTGGTTTTTTTTTCATCCATTTCTTATGATCCTTGGGAGTGTTGAGAAACACACGCCTGAAAATGGTTGAAGACATTATCATGGCTTGATATCTGTCTTTGTTTCTCAAATAGACCTCACTTACTCTTCACATTATGTGCTTAAATTGCCCTTTAGAAACATAAATACAAATCATTTGATCTTCTCAGGACATTTTTTTATCATGTGGTGCTCCCTATAGTTATGTTACATGATCTAAAGTGACTCCACAGCCTGCGCAGCTTAGAAGCTAATATGGTGTATTAATCTCAAAGACATTTCCCGAACTGTGAGATCCCTGCCTTATGTGAAGTTCCCGTATTAACGTACATGTACATGTAAAAGAAAGTAAGAAATAAATATAAACCTGGATGTCATGTTCTTTCTTCTTATTTTTTAATTCAGGTGAAGTGACCAGAAACTATTTACCACAGTCAAAAGAGGAACCCTTAATAAGGGATTGTTGTCTGTTGCCATGGTTCCCTGACAAATTGACAGACAAGGAATGGCTAGCACAGTTATCTTCTGAGTTTACTTTGGAATATACAATAAAACAACTTAGTGACGTGCAGATGAAGGTTTGCATTTATTTTTCAGTGAAAAGGGATTGCAACTTAAGGAAACGGGGCCAACTTTTAAGTTTAACTGCTGTGTTGTTGGAAAATGTTCAAAATCTGATCATGCTTTGTTTTGATTTTTTACAGTCATTTGATATCTTTATTTTAGAGTTATAATTTCTGCTTATATTTGATCAAAAAACGTGGAGATCACTATGACATAACCCCTTTAATACTGAATCTTTCTTTACCAAAAAGACTAGAACAAAGTAGACTGAAATATTCTATTAAGGCCAGGATGCGCCCTTTCTAAGCAACCCATTTTCAACCGTTCTGTTACAAAAATGTACACGAGCCAAAGGAATTAATTGTTTGTATTTACCATCTAGGACTGGCAAGGTGAGATATTCCCTAGACCTGACAAAACTGAGGGTCTCACATCACTTGCAAGTGACAATGATAAAATTTATCGCGTGTTCACTGATGTTGTAGAAGTGAAAAAATTCCTGACACATCCAAGATTTGGTCTGGTGGACAACAAGGAAGATGCTGATATTCTTTGGATGAGAGGGCATTTTAAAGATTTCAGGTGTGTAGCAAATCTATGTCTACATGTTAAGAATTACCTCATAAAATTAATATATGCAAAGTCATTTTGTTTTATATCAACAGTTATCCCATTCAATATTATCCAGGGAACCCTGAGGCTTTTTTGCTCCTCATGATATTACCGGGGAAATGAGTTTCTGTAATTGGGTGGTGATGATGGCTTGAAACGTTTACCTAATTCCCATTCTCCTTATGATGGTTAATGACTATCGCTCGTTCTAATCGAGGAATCTTTATCGTCTAGATCTTTGCAAGACAGTGGAAAATTCATAAATCAGTTTCCAAACGAATGTACCCTGACATGTAAAGACCTCTTAGCATCAGTGTGTCGGAATGCAACTGCTCTAAAAAGCGGCCAAGAGGAAGATTTACTCAGAAGGGGACCCGAATGGCTTCCTGTTACGTTTAACCTGACCCTTGAACTTCCACTATTTATTGATCATTATCTCAAGAGAAAGGAGAGGTAGGACATAAAGGACGGTGATCGCTTAAACACTAAATGACCTACTATGCAAGCATTGACTATGCTATTAATTAAGGCGAATACATGTAGAAGCATCAAATGACAGCCCATTTTAAAGTTTCTCTAAGCGTCTTTCGAGAGTTTTTGCTTAAAAGCAACGACGCTTATGACAGCAAAAAAGGTCACTAACGGTGAATTTCCGTTCTTTCAAACTTCATCGCGACTTTTACACCTCGCCTAACTGTGAGATACATATAAGGGTTTCTGGAGTGCGTCGTGGGGCGTCCACCTCTTTTATAAAGTGCCGCATTAGTAAGTTTTACGTTGGAGTCGTGTAGAGAACGACGAAGAAGTGTATCGAAAACGTTCTTGTATGCAAGTATAGTGTTGTTTGCTCATAAAAACGTCGATTGATTTTTTGGCGTAGTTGTTTGCTGTTGTCCTTGCAGTTTTCTTAAGCCTAGTTTCCATCGTCGTGGTGGAACCATCTGTCTCCATGAGTAAGGGGCTGTGAAGATCGAGACGCCACGGTCCAGACATTTCTGTGGACACCAGACAATATGTAGGCTTCGATTTTATCCTGGTGAAGGCAACCCAAATCCTCTGTATTGTTCCGTCTCCATATGATTGTCTTGACCGCCAGCACACTTTTTCAGACGACTTGGACAGTCAAAAACATCCGGACTATTATGTGAAAACCAGACTAAAGCGTTCGTTCAACAGAGCAAGTCCCGATGCGCAACCAATCACACAAAATGAATCATGCCTACTTTCCATGTAAAGCAATAGAAACACCAGCTCGTGCATGCATTGGGAATTAAATAGGAACTCTATAATCCTTATATTCTCAGCCTGTTTCACATTTAATCAAGCCTTAGGGAAATTGAAAAAATAAAAGAAATGGTAGGACAGTGAGGCTCCAACACGCTTGATAGCTCATCCTGGTTACCATACTATTTCATTGCCACTTTGAGGTTGAGGAGACCGGTTCGAGATGGTTGTCAAAGTGCATTGTGGGACTGTTTTGGGGGACATATTTCAACATGGCGCAAATTCGTCCCCCAAAACAGTCCCACAATACACTTTGACAACCATCTCGGCCCGGTATCCCGCGCAACCTCAAAGTTGCGAATTACAAACAAGCTCCATTGGTGTTTCTTCACTTGAATTCAAAAGAGTGTTAGCACAAAAAAGCCTCATCAAAAAATAAGCTGACAAAAGCTGCTGCAGTTGGTGTGGCTAGTTTTCTTCGTAAATGCATGAACCCTTTTTTCTAGATGTATAGTATTCTAATATAGGTTTTGGTAAGGGTTTACATAAAAAAATTCCTTGTTTTCAGAGAGCTTGACAATCACTGGATATGTAAACCTTGGAACCTGGCGAGAGCTATTGATAGTCATGTGACGTCAAACTTAAACTACATCATACGCTTAAGAGAAACGGGGCCTAAGGTTTGTATTATTGGTTATTATAGAGAGAGTATTCAAAAGAGTAATGATAATCACAGTTGCTAGGTGCTCGTCCAATTTTTTCTGCAAATTCTTTTTGAGATACCAACAATTGATTTCAGTGTCTAGTGACATTTATAACGTAACCGTTTGAGCTGATTTGGTGCAATGTATTTTTTTTGGTAATAATCACCTTCTTTTATTGTCAGCTCCTTGTGATAGGCTACCATGTTATGATCAAAAGGAAAATTAAAATCTCCTTCCCGCCAATTAACAATCATTGGATGAGGTTTTTCTGATATCCGGAATAATCAAGGTCGAGGTAAGTGTTATCAGCCGAGCCAAAGGCCGAGGCTGATAGCACTAACCGAGACCTTAATTATTTAGGATATCTCAAAAACCGAATCTAATAATTCTTTTATTATACATTGTTTTGAAAAAAATAACGACAACACCGTCGCAAGGAACCTGAATTGATATTGCTATAGGAAATCATGCATTGCGCGCGCAACCTACAGATTAGTCAGTTATCTGCTAGCAAAAGGTTGCGCTGTTTTCCAAAATTACCTGTAGGCTCTTAGCCAATGCGAAGACAGATAGTGAGTACAATGTATAATAAAATCAGGAATGTGACCGGGAAGGCCATTTTTGGAGGGAAGGGAAAGTCTCAGCTTTTCAAAATCCAAAACCCTTCAAGGTCTTGCTCTCTTGTGGAAAATAAGCATTTTGTTTGTTTAAATTCTGGGGATTACCAAACTTGAAAATGAAAGGAAAGTCGAATCAAATTCTGGTGGTGGTAGTAATAGTATCATGGCACCATCGTGCCTACATTGTCTATTCAGCGTGGTTTTGCAAGGTTCGCAGTTGCCTTCACGTGACGTTTGAAATAGCGAAAAAAAATTAGGCCAGATTCCCCTCTTTACTGCTATTCATGTTTGCCATGCCCAGGAATCTACATTCAATTTAAATGCTGGACGGAATGAAGGAATAATTGAAGAAACAGTAATCAGTTTTGCTATGCTTACCATGCCAGTGCGGCAAGGCCTTTTACGCCCGCGCGGACCAAATTTTTATACCCTTCTGCAATTTCTTCCCCAGAGACACTGAAAATTACGAATCTAAAGAATCTGGATTCAATTGTTTTTTATACTGAATCCGCGCTGAGAGTAGATTCAAAGGACTCAGAGAGGTTTTTTTTTTAAAGAAATTTTTTTTAAAAAATTGCACCTGTTTTTAGATTTGATCATCTTGTTTCGGATTCTCGCCCCCAAAACGCTGCCTCAGCCTTGCGATGAAGGTTACGAGAGCTTTTGTTTATCAAATTTTCTTCCTTCTTTCTTCAGGTTGTCTGTAAGTATATCGAGAATCCGGTTCTGTTTCATCGTGAGGACGTTGGTCGAGTAAAATTTGATTTTAGGTATCTGGTTCTCCTCTCATCCACCAAACCGTTGGTACTATACGCAGACAAAGTGTTTTGGCTGAGATTTGCAAATCAGTAAGTTTATAACCTGATTTTGTAATCCCGCTCTTTTGGAATACGATGTATGTTCCTCTTTTTGATAGGTAATTGTACATAAAGATATTTTAATTTTCTTTTTCAGACCGTTCTCAATGGATTCTTTTGATGTCTACTCGAAGCATTTTACGGTTATGAATTACAGAGACAGTGAAAACTTAAAGCAGGTTTGTTTTTCTTTCCTGTTCATGACATGTTCTTTATTTTTAAGGGTACTCTGAATTCGAACACGCTACAGTCTAAGGAGTAGCGTTTCGCCAGGACTCGGTAGAGAATCTTACGGATATTCTGTAACAGACTAAATCAAAATGCGACGTTTGAATTAAAATAGCGGCGTCGCCTATTTTTGTTTTTAACGGTCATTGCTAAAAAAACTTGTCAACTTGAGTCATGGTGGAAGTGATATACGCCCTGGATTACGATACGTTAAGGCAAAACAAAATTTAGTTTTTGAATATAAATGTTATAAAAAGAGGAAGGTTTAAGCTCAATTTAAGTTTTCGTTGAAACTTAGATTATGTTTTCGAAACCAATTTTGTGAATTGTGAGGACCCTTCGTTTCACAAATCTGTCATTTCAAGGTCAAGACTTTAATTCTAAATATTACCTAGTTACACGTAAACGTTTTGATCGATGAACTTATGAACTAATCATATTACTTTATCACTATACAATTCATAAAATAAATTTCAGCTTGCTTTGATCTTCGCAACAAATTGTAAACAAAGTAACTTAATTGTCCTATGATGTAATTTTAGTTTTTCCTCTTAAAATAGGTTTTCCAATACTGTATGTACTTGTGTGGTCAGGACTCATGCAATTATAAGTTGTTGTTGTTGTTGCTCTTTCCCTTGTTACTGCGATTGGGGTTGCTGTGCTTTGCGACAGTCAGATCGCGCAACGAAAGTGTTATATGAACTGACTTTTTAACAACCTTTTTCTTTCCTAACAGGTTCACCACCATGAATTTATACCCATGTTCGAGCAACAATATCCCAATCATAAATGGGCAGATGTAGAGGTATTTAAAGCATACGACATTCGTCAGTTGAGTTCAAAAAGTACTCTATTTGAGATTAGCTATGCCAGTTGAAGGCAGGATAGCTGGAACAGGGTGAACGAAGTTATTGGGGTCCCGTAATACTCCCCTCTCTGACGAAAAATGCACCACTCCACCGGGACTACAAACAGCACTGTGGGTTACTTTTGCGTCCCATTCGAAAATAGAGAGCTTTAGATTCCAAACGAGTAGGACGACGAATACGAGATTTCGTCAATGCTAAGTGGTGTTCGCGCGTGAGCCAGCGTCATTTTGGCGGGAAAAACGTTATAGCCGTCGTCGTTCTACTACGAGTTTTAGCGAGAATGTCGTAGTGGCGGAAACAAGTTATCAAATGTTTGAAGTTTTATCATTTTGCCATCGGGACAGGGCTTAACCTCCTTCAATAAAGATAACATTATTAACTTTTCTGAGGGAAAAAGGAACAATGAAGAATTCCGGGGTGTCTATTTTTTTACAATACGCGAAAAAACTTTAAATCAAATCTCTTGCTCATAATCGTTCTCATCCTCGAATTTTAAGGTCTCTAATACTCTACAAACCCTAACCGTGGGGGTTCATTAGGCTGCTGACTGCGCGAGGCAATGGTTTAATAGATTATAATTACTCTTTTTTCCGGCTGGAGTGGAGAGCTATTCCTAACCCGTGGAATGGGATAGAGATATATATACAGTCTGTAGTTAGCCTTTTGAAACAAGAAACGATTGGCATTATTGTCAACTGGGACATTTCCACAACGCACCCGCTTTCCCACCCCCCAAATCTCCCTGCCCCAAAAATAAAGCACGACGGTATAATAGTGTATTCTTAGACATATTAAATTCTGCAAGCAGAATACTGCAATGCTGATCGTACTACGTGAAAATTAACTCTAAAAACACCAACACGACACCGAAAGATCTCAAAACAGAGCGGAATTGTAGCCATAGACAGCTTTTTCGCCCTCTTTGGGGCTCGTCAGTAAAGCGTAACAACCAGAGAAAGCTCTAATGAAAAATATTCGCGCACTCTGATTTCAGCCCTGACCTAAAACTCTCAACACCCACGTGACAGAACCACGCCATACCACGTGTCTTCTGGGGGGCAACAGTCCAAGTGTCAAGTTGATGTCTCGCAGAGAAAATAAAGAATTGACCAAAACCAACCTATAAAACATATGCACAGAATCATGCAAAAATTACTGCATATCGGATCTATAAAAGATCTACGGCCCTAGAACACATAAAGTACAAACATTAACCACAAAGGTTATATTAAAGGTTGTATTCTTATTCAATGGATGCACATACCGACCCACTGAGAGAGACTTTCAATCGCGTTTTGAAAAGGATTTAACATTTATCGAAAGGTTTAAACTTTAAGATAAAGTGAGGAAAAACCGAAAAGAGACTCATTGTGGCATCGTATTTTTCCTATTGTGGGTTAAAATATAGAACTAATACCCGCACGCAAGAATATTTCTTTCAGTATAAGTATGTTTGCAAGATTTTGTTTGAAATGACCCATCCTTTCCCCAATAATGAAAAAAGGTGCCCCATGGTAGCGGGGGACAGGAAACCTAACTTGATCCTTCTTCCATGTCCGTTTTTGCTGCACAGACGAGGGCCCCCATTTTTCGATTTGGCTTTGCCGCCTGGCAGCCCAATTAAAAGACAAAATGGCGGACGGATCCCTAGAAGGCTTTGCGTTTTCCACTCCCCCTTCAATGCCAATTAAACTCATTTCACAGCTAGAAAAGATCTTGAATTTGACCTCGCTTTAATATTGAGAGTTTTGGAACTCCGAAATGGCTTATTAGAAGGAAGGTGCCTAAAAGAAGGAAGACGCTAATTCGACGTTGCCTTTTTACTTTTTGATAATCAGGCTAAGGTGTTTAAGATGTTCCGAGAGATGTTCGAAGCAGCAGTGTCCGACTCACCACCAAAGACCTTGATGCACTGCTCACAGGTGAGATATCAGGTTTTTCATGCTCCGATCTGTTCCATTTTAAGTTTTGTCCCATCAAGTTTACGAATGACTCCCCACCAAACAGCATTTTAACATCTTTAGACTTGATGCAGCTTAGTGTAAATACATTACTCTTTGTTTAGAAAATACATATGTCATCTTTTTGTCGCTTTACCTCAACAAATGTTTTGGCGGCCATGCATAAATATTATCCGAAAAACAAACAATCCAAGTTCATTGAGCAAAATTTGAGAAGTCGGGAGTCGCGACGTCGCTGTTTGATATGACCACTCGTGTTACATACGAAAACAACACCACTCACTTCCAAGATTTAGTGGTCATATTGGTTCTACGAATAATGCTTTCATCATCATCATCGTCATGTCTGAACGAGCCGGTAGGTGCATAAGGCCTCTCTACGAATACTTTACTTTTCAATAAAACAACAGTGTTGTAGAAACGATGCCTAAATGGAGTAACGGTTTTTACTGTGTGTTGAAACGTTTTTCTTTTTCTAGTCCCGTGCGTTTTATGCTGTGGATCTTATGCTGAAATGGGCTGACGATGGTACGTTTTGTAGTTGGCAGTGTAAATATGTTGCATGAAAATTGTTTAAAACCTTGTGGGGCCGCATCTTATTAGACATGAAAAAGAACGGCCATTAAATCAGTTATTATCTTTTAGACAATCAAAGACTGCAGGGTGAAGCCATCCTTACATCTGCGGGCATTATTAAAACTAGGAACACTGGAATATTTTGAAACACCTCAGGAACAACCTAGTAAAGCTGACAATAAGTGAAATAAAAAAAGGCAAACGTAAATCGTTAACCCTAACTTTTAATCTGTAAAATATTTAATGTTTTCCTGTTTTTGTTATTCACTTTACGTGTTCCGTGAGATTCGGAAATGTTCTGCGTTCCAGCTTTTAGCAGAGGCGTTCTACGGATCAGTATTGAGATTCAGGCATAATTGCCTGGTTGCACCTAACCCACGTTTTGCCTTAAGTGAGACGATATTTTTTCTTTTACTGATAGGCACAGACCAGATGATTCCCCAAGTTTTGGAGGTGAATTTCTGTGCCGACTGCGAGAGAGCGTGCCGCTATCATCCAGAATTTTTCAACTATATTTTCAGTCTGCTCTTCCTTGGCGATTCCAATGGTTGGCCTGTGGAAGAGCTATAATGACAAACTGGGCTACAATTTGATGTAAATATACAAAAATGAATATTCAATTCTTGTAAAGTAACGAGCTCGCGTGCCATTGGTTGCGAGATCAAGTTCTTCGGAGGAAGAGAAGATTTTTATCATTTGAATTGCACTGTACGGTACGGTCGTGGAAGAAACACATCAGGCGGCGCCAGCCTTACTATTTACTTTTAGAACAAAGTGGACGTTTTAGGACAGTAAGAAAACAATTTCGCGTTCTTAATTAAGTGTTAACAAAAATAACGTTATTACACCGTATTGCCTTCAGTTTCCTTGACATTGTCGAGGCTCTGATTAGTAGAAACATATGTTTACAAAAGGCAACAAATAATTACACAGCACATACCCCGCGAGCAGAGGATACATTTTCGCGGTATTAGCTGGTGTGCGAAGAGTAGGGTACACAGCACAGAGCGCAGAACTGTTAATTTATTTCTGAAGTGTAAACAACAACAAAAACATATACTAAAAAGTATCCACAAAAACATCAGCATATTGCGTATTGTTTCATGAATATATATATTTTATTTCCCCCAATGATTCCATTTAGCACCCTTGTTTCATAATTAGACTTACTGACGTTTTTTTTCTCTCCTAACCGTTTTCCATGGGGAGATGGAATGTTGCTCATCCGCGTGGTGATTGTGAGGAAAGGTTAGAGTATCGATTCTATACCTCAAAAAGAGGTCGGACACCTAACGAAGCTTTAGACAACGTAGTATTAGTTTTCACTCTTTAAGAAGGGAAAAGATGTTTTTTAGGAGAAAATTAAGAATGAGGAAAGCCAATTTCGTAGGAAAAGAAGTAAGAAAATATAGCTGCGATTATCGATTGCTCTGATGTATGGTCACTAGGGTTTAGCACTGTTTTAGAATGGTTAGCTTTTATTTACTGTTTGGCAAACTCCGTTGAAATACATTTCTATAAAGTCACGGCTCTTGGTAGGGATTTTTTTCTTTAGTGTAGTGGTAAAGTGAGCGAAAAGTGTTGTAAATCGGGTTCAAAGCTTCGTCACTCTTTACTACAGTCTTTCTTCTTTTCCTTTAAAACGTTAAAATTTAAAGTAAGGTTTCCTCAGTGTGTAGGGTTTATGAGGTATCCGACCACTTTCTGAGCTACAGACTCTGCCTGAGGAAAAGTTTTCGTGGTTGTAATTGTTGGTTTTACTAGCTAGGTTCTTTCACGACGATATTCTTAGTCGTCACTTGATTCCATCCACCAAACTGACATCCTCCTCTCACAAGACATTTCACTTTTCTTATATGAAATTTCTTGATGAAATGTTCATAAAAGTCAAAGTGTCTTCAATTTTTAAGGAAAGAAACAATTCAGGATAGAATCAGGACCACCGAGGATTTGGCGACGATCATCTGTTTGATTTAAGTATGTAACCCTAACCCTAACCCTAACCCTAACCCTAACCCTAACCCTACTTTGTGTACGAATCATTAATGTGTCAACGTCAGTTTGGCGGATGGAATTAAGTGTAGGCCGATATTCTTGAGATAAATGGAGATATTGTTTTGTCCAGAAATTCTCACTCTAACCCCTTTATAAACACTTAAGTCTACGTCTTCTGTCCAGTGTTACTTTGTTTTAACTCTTGTTTCTGAAACGAGGACAACAAAAATAAATTCAAATCATATATTTTTTTCCTGGCGAGTTTTCGTCATTGTCTAGTTATTTGTGCACTAAAACTGAACGTGTTATTTTCCCCTCGCGTTTTCAGACAAACAATGGTGATTTTCTTGCAGATTTTGTTAAGCACAAGCGAAATTCAAGGAAATAGAAGAGGGGTAGTGAGCTGATAGGTCAAATTTATCAAGACTATAAAGCTGGTCACATTTTTTCAGTAAGACTTTATCATGCGATCATCACGTTTAACGTCATCAATGATCCGCTCCACATCTCTTTAGTAAATCTAAAAAGTTAGTACAGGTAATAGCATGATTTGTAGTGATAATTGGCATAAATACCACGAGTGGTACGAATTTCACGAACCGTTAGGCGAGTGAAATTTGAGACAATTTTGAAATCTCACGAGTGGTGTTTAAGCCAGATATCACGACAAATCATGCTATTATTTGTTTATACTACTAGGTATTTCAAATTAAGCTGAAATACCACCGCTCTAAGCCAATCAAATTGCAGAAATTTCTCATGTAGTTGTATAAGGAGTAGAGAAAAATTTTTCATCAGCCTCTTTGAAAAGCTTTTAGCCTGTGAGCAAGCTTTCTGGGGAAATCTGGGGGCCGAGGAGCCCGAGTGTCCCTCAGAGAGGTTACTGGAAGGCTAACTGAACGTCTTAAACGAACAGATACCAAAGTTATGCATATAATACCTACTAACCTCCTAATTGGGTGGTAGAACATTTTCGATGAAGTCATCAATATTGTCTGCGATTGCAACGGGCTCATATGCTGCAACCACGACGGTGGTAACATTGCCGCTTTCGTGATTCATGGCATATCCACATCCTACGCTTGCATGAGATCTCCACATGAGCTTTCGGGAAAGAGACATGAATGCTTAGACTGTTTTGATTATAGATTAAGTTTTAGATTATAGATTTGAGATTAAAGAAAATGATCAGATGTAGTCGACATCGTTGTCCATCTGTCTAGTCCGTCTGCCTGTGGGTCCATTCAATCTGTCACTCTGTCCGTCCGTCAATTAAGGGAAGCTTGATATACCGAAAGAACTAAAGGGTCCAATCAATATTTGTCTTGTAACTGAAAAGCCCTTTTAGGGAGTTACGGTAAAGTATGTTATATGTATGCACTCCATCCCTCCGTCCGTCCAGTCGGTATGTCCATCTGTCCGTCCATCCATGTGCACGTCCATCTATCCGTTTGTCTGTTTGTCCGTTCAGCCCGTCTGTACGTCCAGTTGATATGTCTGTCTTTCCATCCGTCCACCCGTAGGTCCATCCACTCCATATGTCTGTCCATTCCGTTGATCGGTCGGTCGGTCTGTCTATTCGGTCACTCTGATCTGTCCAATAGTTTGTCTATTAATCCATCATCTGTCCTTTTGTCCCTTCCGTGTCTCTTCATTCCATGCATCCATCTGTCTGTCCGTCCATCCAGTCCATCCATCTGTCCTTCCAGTCGGTAAGTCTGTCTGTTGGTCTATCCATTCCTGTCCATCTTTGCATCTGTCTGTCCACCCATCCGTCTGTCCATCCAGTCTATTTTTCCGTCCATTCCGTCGATTGGTCGCATCCCTCTGTCCGTCCAGTCCGTTCGTCAGTTTATTTTGTTTTTCCATCCATTCCAGTTATCCAGTCCGTCCTTCTGTCCTTCCAGTATGTCCTTGCTTCTGTACGTCCTTCCAGTCTGTCAGTCCGCCAGGCCAGCCTTAAGGTTGCAATTGATTTCCACTGACGCATTTCTGGTTACGCTCGTTAACGCGCGTAAATTTTAATCACGTAATAAAATAGAGGCAATATAAAAAGTGTTGAGCTTAAACGAGAAGTTGAGCGAGGTTCAATTCTTAGGCTTACCAGCGACCTTTCATGCATTGCCTCTATTTTATTTGCAAACGTAAATTTGACGCACGTATGCATCTACGCAACCCTGGAAATCAACTCTTAGTCCAGCATGTCCACCTGTCCGTTCAGTCCATCCAGTCTGTCTATGTGTCAGTTCGTCCAATCTGCTCGTCTGTCCGTCCGCCCGTTACGATTTATACTTAAAGAAATTACTGTACTTTCACATGGCCTCTTAAATTCAGTTGGTACTTTTGATAGAAAAGAGATGATTGCTACCAATTCGCGTTGGCTCCAACCTACCTCGATGAAACGGTGATTGTCTGTGGAGATTAGTGGCTTAGTGTAGTTGTAGGAATCACCCTCAATGTACCTTAAAAAGCCACCAGAAAAAAAGACTGAGATATATCAAGCATTTTCGATTAACTGAACAAAAAGGCAGGGAAAAATAAAATGTCAGTTCTAAATATAGGAAAGTGTGGACTTTTCCCAAAATAAGTCGATCCCAATTACTAAGCTAACGCTTTTAGCTCATGATCTAGAATAGCCTGCGAACGGCAGACGTTTTTTCTCGCTCTTCGCCACTGAGGGACGTTTCGCGAAACGTCTCTAGATCTAGAAAGTCGATTCCAATTTAGATTTGAATTAAACTCGTCTAAAATTAATTCAACTTATGAACGAGGCCTCACGATCCTGCGTTGACGCAGTGACCGCGACAAGAACGTAAAAAAAAGGAACAAGTTTAATAGAGTGTTTTTACATGACGCCTGTCACGTCCGCCATTTTGTAGTCCCAAAACAATTAAATTTGCGCCGTGTCTTTGACATGTTTATGTCCCCGTGCAAACGGAAGCAAAATTATTGGCCAACAACTCCCAATATTATTGTCGGACGACATGTTCAGCGTACGTTTGAACACCCTGTGGCATGTTATTGCATGTTGCGCCAACAATGGTTTATATTAAATTAAATTAATTTTATTTAAGCTCGATAGCGAGAGGAGTGGTTGCCCAATCTTCCGATCCCGGGGCTCATGTATTAAACGCTCGAGCATTCCGGATCGAATTGGAATTTAGAAATGTTGGTTTTTGCGGAGAGGGGAAAACCGGAGTACCCGGAGAAAAACCTCTCGGAGCAGAGAAGAGAACCAACAACAAACTCAACCCACATATGACGTCGAGTCCGGGAATCGAACCCGGGCCACACTGGTGGAAGGCGAGTGCTCTCACCACTGCGCCATCCCTGCTACCCACGAAATGGTGGGAGCTAGTTGTTGCGTGCGTCGGCAGTGGCGTGCAAACGGATGCAACAACTCCCAACAATGTTGGGACCTGCAGTGCATCGTGGGAAGGATACAACCCATAAGTCTTTATAAACCATGCGTAGTGAGCGTGCGTGGCCCCAACAATGTTGGAAGAGCTGTGCAAACGGATCCAACATTGTTGCGCTACGCTTCGGCGATCACGGAACAAAAGAAATGTTGGGAGTTGTTGGCTGAAAAGTTTGACCGGTTTCAAACTTTGCGCAACAACATCCAACAACCGGACGCAATATGTAACATCCAACAATGTTGGGAGTTGTTGGCTAACAATGTTGCGTCCGTTTGCACGGGGCTTTACATGTAACGTCTAAGTTTGTAAGCTGATTCATGAGAACATTGTCTCCGTTATCTTATATTGAAGCTTTCATGCCTATAATTTCATCTACAGCCCTTTCCTTACCAGTTTTCTACAGCGTCACTTATTGTCCTCGCGGTAGGCCAGGATGCGATGAAAAAGTTTGCATCATACATGCCATTTGTCACCTTTTCCGGTGGTTCGTTCTTGGTCAGAAAATTAGCCAACTTTTGAGCACGCTTAGCAAGTTCCCAGTTGTATTGTAAGGCAGGCGTACCGTGTTTGCTCCTGTAAAAGTTGTGCTCTTCAAGGCAGTCGGATTCGATGCTCGCAAAAACTGTGGGAAACACAATTAGATCGTTGTTACGGCAACTGAATCTTCTTGGACATGTATTTCTCTTTTCGTACCTGCGTCGTGTTCTACTGAGAGCTACAGAGGACCTGTCGAATATCAAAGGGCTAAAGGGAAAACATAATCTGTATACAACTACAGACAATTATTGGCTCTCTTTTTAAAACATGATTATGAAAAACGAAATGACTGTTTTATAAGTGCATGTACGTGAGTCCACTAACAAGGGTTTGGACAAATTTTTGAACGGACTTGTGCCGTGTATCAGTTTCCGGCACCTTTCGGATCTCTATTCCTGTGTTACCATACAAAGCAAATAATTAAAAATTTAACTTACCCATGTGAAGACGTGCGCAGCTGACCAAAAATAAAGTGAGAAAACTCATTTCTTCAGCCTGGTATTTAAATACTGTCCGCGGAAGAAATCTACAATGTTGACATTGAGCACTAACTAAATCTTCATACACCATGTTCCAAAGTTAAGCGGGATATTTTAAACTGAATATGTATCTGTTATCCGGAACAATGTAACAGTTTCACCTCTTAGCTATTTTGTAGCTTATAATCAGCAACTTGAAAACGACAGATATAACTAAATAATGATTTCAAAAAGGAAAAACTGAAGCGAAAATGCTAGTGGTTTGACTAATAGCCTTTCTCACTAGAATACTTGGTTTAAAGACAGACTTTAATGACTTATAGCGTTGCTTATCTCAGCAGCTAGTAGGGTGCTCTAACATCTTGACAATCCAAATAAATATCCGCTTAAACAACCTAACTTTGCTTTCGGATACTGGTTCCTCAGTTCACCCTAAATCGAACCACGTTTCAAGAGTTTAAGTAAAGATTTCTTTCTGTATATAAATTATTATTAACTTTTGTGTCTTGGAGGTTGTCTTGACCTTTTAGCTTTTAAAATTTCGAAATATTTTTAGGTATAAGCAATTTGTAAGGTCTTATAATGTTCAGAGAGTGTGCTTTTGAGAAAATGGGAACTGAGTTTTCCAGTTTTAGAGATTCTTCAGGAGCCCGAAGTCTGTGAAGATCTGCCGAAAAAGTGAAGTTTGAGATACCTTAAAACTTTTTGACGGTTGATATCAATCTGCATTTTTAACGGTTGACGGTAAAATAAAACCTTTTTCGACGGTTGACGGTTAAATTTTAGGCCGTTTGACGGCTGACGGTTAACCCAATGAGACCCTCCCGTATAATGGTTGTCCACCAAATTGCGAGGGAAAAAACTCGGTTACAGCCGACCTTTCAAAAAATAAGAAGATTTCCGAAAAAAAAATATTATAACTATTACAAGAAGGAAAACAGTGAATAAAAATAGAAATGAATGTTCCTACCTCAAGAAAGGCTTCGGGTTTAACTTTCCTACGTACCCTCTATGTAAGGGCTCTTCCAAGCTTGAGAATTCCGTTTAAGCCGTTATCGTTGCTAGCGGTTACAAATAGCCATTAAATTGAGTTTTCCTTGCCCAAAATGAGAGTTAATGAGCTTCATCTTAAAAAAAATAAAAATAGCGTTGGCTTATGAAAAAAGTCTCATTAACCATTCTTTAGCCGCAGTGGTGTAAATCCTCGGAACTCGTTCATTTTCGCAAAAAAAAAAATGTTTACGCTAGTTAGAGCCTCGTGTCACTGAGCGCAAATATGAAAGCATAAACGAAAACAATTGCAGACTAATTATAAAGCAAAGGTTAGAAAGGAGTCCATATATGTATTTCAGGGAGTTTGGGAGTTAAGAGCAAAAAATAACTTAAAGAGGTTTTGAAGACTTCAGCGTTTAACTAGAGTACATCTTATTAGAACCTGTACTGAGCTTTTCATAAATGGAGAGAGAATAAATGTATTAAGTAAAGATTTCAATGAGTCATGAGTCAAATAAAAACGTTCCAATCTCTCCGATATGCTGCCAATAACTTCTTTGAAAAATACACATGTTGTTACATCGCAGTGACCCCAATTACTTTTCTTTTTAACCCTAAACATTATTCAATGTTCAATGTGTAAAATGCTGACCTGACTCATGACTCTCGAAATAACCGAATTTCTTGGTTTCTAAGAAACCGTTGTACTTTGGGATAGAATTCTATTACAGCATTACCTTAGACTCGTGTAAGGTTTTTCCTACAAACTGTTGTTCTATTGAAGTAATCACTGAACATAACTGAATATTTTAACACTGAATCAATTATCAGAATAGATTGTTATCTCTTGTCAGTTATCATGGAATTGAAGTACAATATAACCTGCGAGCAGGCTCACTAGTGCGGTCCGTTCTCCTCTCGGGATTGCCGCTCCGCAGTCGAAAAACCTTGTTTAATAACTTTTTTTTTCTTTTGTCTGTTTTTTATCACTACCGGCCTCAATTAGCGAACTAGCTATTTTCTGGTAGCAAATAAAATAAGATACAAACTGAAAATTGTTGCTCGTTCAGGGTCGTTTTTGGTGTCAATTTTGAAGGCTTTCAAAAGCCGCGCCTATGCCCCTCCCCCACATCACCTCGATTTGATGTCTAGTTACCAGGACAGTAGCAATATTTCGTCGATCTTCCACCGGCCAGCTAATCGACAGCTTGCAACTAAACAATATTTTAAAGAAAATGACTTCAACTCGCACCGAAACTCAAAAAACAACCTCGGAAAAGCATTCCGGTCCAGCAAAACTGAAGAAAGATCCAACTATAGTGGAGATTTTTGAAAGCTTAGAGTATGGTCCAGCTCCCGAGGCTGCCAGCAGCGTGAACGCATGGCTTGATGAACATGGAAGGGACTTCGGACATTTCGTGAACGGAAAATGGGTAAAACCCAAAGGGAGGAAGGTGTACGAAACCAGAAATCCAGCAACAGGTTGGTAATGTTTAAATGACTTATTACTAGCAGGTATTCAAAGTTATGACGGCGGAAAAAATCGAAGTAAATGCACGTGATTTCGCGGTGATTTCGGCGAGGACGAACGCAATGACTTGGGTAGTTGGGTCGAAATCTTAGAGGAAGTCGGAAAATAATTTTCCTTTACATTTTTTATATGCAGCTTGAATTGGCTTGAAAATATGAGGTAAATAATTCACGTACAAGTCAATTCAAGACTTCAACAAGGTAGCCATGAGCAGCCTACTTGTTCAATTTCCCATTCCCATCCCCTCTCCCCCCCAGGTTGCCTGCAAGCAAGCACTCCATGTTAATTGGTGAGTGAAATGGGGCTAGGAAAGAAGACATATGTGAGCAGCAAGGCTGCATGTGTAGAAGGTAGGCCTTTCCCACCCCTTGCTCTCACATATTTCAAGTCTAACTCGCCCATGACTTCTTACAACAACCTTGAATTAGAGAGCTTTCTCATAGGTTATCACCCAGGACAAAAATGGTGCTCACAGTGCTCACCCGCTTTTTCTTACACCTCATTATTCCGGACAGTTTGGTTTGTCCCTTGCAAAAGAAAATCGCTTACTTTTTCTCTAAATTCAAACTGCTTATAATTATATGTACAGGTCGAATGCAGACATCCGTTAAGAGGGACACTTTCTATGGCTCCCTCGGTGTCTGTGTTAATGGCGTTTGACTGTACCACTTTCGTAGGACAGGATAGGTGGTTAAATGCCTCCACCTTGAGGATGTTATTGCAAAAATAACAGCTTGATATATTTCCAAGTAAAATCTCTAAACTTTGAATTCCATAAAGGTACAGTTGTACCTTGCCCTCTGGACACCTTCATAATACAAAAACCTTTCCTTTGTGGACAGTTCTCTTGGTGCTGAAAATGCAAGTCTTTATTCATTTCCTACTTTAAAACAAAAATATTTTTGTGCATGAACAATAATAATTATCTTATTTGTTTCTTTATTTCAAAATTATGCTATTTCTGTTCCTCAGTTGCAATTACAAGTCATACCAAGTCATTTTGCAAAGTCTTGTTGCAGAAAGTAGTCTAAAAATAATGTGATCAAAGATGGTTGAAGAAGAAATTTGTTGTTGAATTTGTTTTTCATTCCGAGAAAGTTTGATAAAGCATTGACAAAAAAACAAACCAGGCTTTTTAGAACATAAAAAAATTTCTGTTAATACACCCTCTGTAGAATGTATGGGGCTGGTGAAATCCAAGATAAAGGACCATTTTAATCACTAAAAGGCAAGATAAAAAAAAGAACAAAAAATCAAACTTAAATTGACATAATGTATTGTCTAAATAAGTCTTTGACCTTGTTGTTGATCATTGCAAGCTCCTCAGGGACCAAAACTTACAAGGAAGACCTACCTGGACAGAGTATTACATTATTTCGGAAAATTTTGGGTTTTGTTATTTAGGAAACCATGGAACAAATCAGTAAAAAAAAAAACAGGTAGCCCCCCCTCTTTGTTTGCAGATTTATTGATGACCCCCCATCTGACTGTCCTGAATTTGACGTGGCCACCCCTCATTCTTGCCAGCCCACCCCCAGGCATGAATAATGAATGGTCCCTAAATGAAGGAAAATTTTGGGTTTTATTCAGGGAGGAACAAAATACTAGGCATCGGTAAAGCAGGGTTCAATTTTCCTCACCCCTACCATATGTAGGCTTGACTGCTAGCTACTGGACACAAGAGAGTGGTGGAAATCAAGCCTATCCCATATGGTGTTGAATTCTTCACTGAGGTGACTAAAAGACTGTTGCCAAATTCCCATAAATGAGTTAATTTCCATGGTAGAGGTGGAAGTGGCGCACATTGATGTCTTTAGTTAAATGATATAAAAGCATAAATGGTCATGGGATCAGCTTTTCAAGTTGGGAAAATCCTGATGATGTAGGGGTGTACTGTTTGTTCGCAGACCATCCAAGATTTTGCTAACAATTAAATATACTTTTAAAAACTCAAAGTTTTACTGTCACAAAGCTTACACTGTAGAAATACCATTGTAGGTCCAGACCTCCTCCTCACAAAGTAATGTCTGGGACAAACATCTTGATTTTTTTTTTACATCAGCTAGATAAGGATTTTCTTATCCTCTGCAGCATTCCAACAATGCTGTCAACACAAGTTATTTCCTTCTAAGGATCTGAACTCTACATAAAAATGTACATGTAGGTTGTTTCAGTTCAAGTTCATACTTTCCTTTTGGTGTCTTCTTTAATCCTTATTTTTAGGGGAAAAACTGGCGTCAACAATGCAAGGTGAAAAAGAAGATATTGACAATGCTGTTGCCACTGCAAGAGAGGCCTTTAAATCGTGGAGTAAACTTCCTGGCCATGTGCGTGCTCGTCATTTATACAGTATAGCACGCCATGTTCAAAAACATGCACGTCTGATAGCTGTTGTTGAGAGTATGGACAATGGAAAGCCCATCAGGGAGACTAGAGATGCTGATGTGCAGATTGTAGCCAGGCATTTGTATCATCACGCTGGCTGGGCTCAGCTGATGGATACTGAGATGAAAGGTACGTACATCAACATCAAATTGTTCTCATTATAATAATATTACTTTACCCAAAAGAGAAATCACAGCTAGTTTAATAGCCTGTTAAGTTATAGGAAACTAGTGACTGGGGTCAATTTAATAACATGTTTACAAGTGTAAAATGAGTAAAATAATTTTCAACAAGAGAAATTGCGTATTTCCCAGCAGCCATGTAATGTTCTATTTATTGTTGTTAACGTAATGAAAGTTAACCTGGTATTTATTAGTGGTTACTTACATAATTATAATAATAATTTGATAATGTGTGTGGTACAGTTCTTAACATTTTGTTGTCTAATTCCTGTTTAGATTGGAAGCCTGTGGGTGTAGTTGGTGCCATTGTTCCATGGAATTTCCCACTGATGTTACTCTGTTGGAAAGTCTGCCCAGCTCTTGCTATGGGTAACACAGTCGTACTCAAACCAGCCACTTACACTCGGTTGTCTGCCCTCCTTTTTGCTGAGATTTGTGCTGAGGCAGGACTACCACCTGGTGTGTTTAATGTTGTCACAGGAAATGGTGCATTTGGCAGTGCCCTTGCTGCTCACCCAGATGTTGACAAAGTAGCTTTTACAGGCTCTACAGAGGTACTGATTTTGCACTTTTATTCTTGTATTTTTTTCTCTTTCTTTTTGAAACTACTGTCAAACCTTGTTAACACGGACACTGAGAGGGCCATGGAAAGTGTCCGTAGTAACAGGTTGTCCATATTAAGCGGGTTGAATTTAGAGGAAGTGTAAAGGCCGATTTAGACAGTATGATTTTTGCCTAGGACTATCGTGCGCCGCTACCATGCGTCATGACTTAACAACAGATCGTGTTGTGTAAATTAGATCCGCGACATTTGTACAACACATTGTGGATGTCGTCAGTGAAAATTGTGCACATGTGGATGGTGGAAAGTCATGACATATTCTAGTCGCGCACGATATTCGTAAGCAAAAATCGTACCGTCTAAACCAGCCTTAAGAGCTTTCTTTTCCTAGGAACAAAGCAAACTGTCTGTAATAATGAGGTGTCCATAAGAGGGTTGTCATAAAGCAGGGTTTGAGTGTACTTTATTTAAGTGTTGAATTTAGCTTGAAAATACCATTTGCGGACACTGTCTTTACATATACATCTGTTGTACTGCCATGTCTCCATGGTCATTTGAGTCATGCAAGACCTCCGTTCCTCAGCTTTTCAAGGCAAGCATGTTTTTAAAGTAAGAATTCTTTGTAATGAATTCAAGCCATGACATGATAAAACAGTCATTTGGAGTCAGCTTTTGTATTGTTCTAAAGAATTATGTAAATCTCAGAAGACATGTTGTCCAGCCTTGGCAGATGACACTGAGATCTGCATAACTTACACAGCCTTTGTCTATCAAGCACAGTACTGGTACAGAAAAAATGTCACTCAAATAACATGAAAGTCCAGTAATTTAGTGTACTATCAATGATAACTTGGACGCTGTTTTTTCGTGAAAGTACTCTCAATAAAGGATATCATGTTTATCTACCAGTAGCCTGCATTATTGAAAAGTACATGCATATTATCTCTGCATCTGCATCTGTAGGTAGGTAAAGTCCTTCGCCGTTTGACAGCAGGATCAGGCAAGAAGATTTCTTTAGAACTTGGAGGCAAGTCACCTGTGGTGGTGTTTGACTCTGCTGATTTGGACAGCACAGTGGAAGGCATTGTAGATGCCATTTGGTTTAATCAGGGACAAGTAAGTATCTAAACAGTACGTGTGTACCTAGAATGCAGTCATGGTTTTCAATCATGGTTGCTGAACCCAATCACTTATTGCCAAATTACAGTGTAATAAACATATGCAACTTCATAACAGTCAGGGATTTCATTAAGGTTTGCCGCACAAAGGCATGTGGATTTGATACCATGTGACCCTACACATATCAATCATGTGCAATAATGAGGCCTAAGGATTAGGCAAGGATTACCAGTTGCTCATTGGCCATTGTTGGGTGGTCTACTGATAGTCAATGGCTCTGCTTTTCTGAGGAACATGCACAGTGTATGTGTTTAATCTTGAACTTTGCATTCTAGGTTTGCAGTGCTGGTTCTCGGCTAATTGTTCAGGAGACCTGTGCTAAGCGTTTGATAGAAAAGATCAAAGAGCGCATGACACATCTTCGACTAGGACACTGCCTTGATAAGGGTATTGACATGGGAACAATTGTTGATCCCTCCCAGAAGAAATCCATTGCTGCTTTTGTTGAAGAGGCCAAAAAGCAAGGAGCTGAAGTGTACCAAGCCTGTGCATCAATGCCATCAGAGGGCTCATATTACCCACCCACTTTGATCACTAATGTACAGCCAGTGTCCAAGATTGTGATGGAGGAGGTACAATAAGATTCAAAAATAAATTTACTTATGAATATACTTTCAATTATTTTATGGCTAAATTCCTGAGCAGGCGAGTGCAGGAGAAACCTGTGTTCTGATTGGCCACCCGAGTGGGCAAGATAGCCCCAACTTCAGTTGCCTGTGCAGGATATCCCGCGGTGATCTCGCAAGAAGAAGCTTGTTTTTGGCCAAATTGTAAATCCTTTATTGACCAATAGTATTTTATTTGCTCCGGCCATGTGGGCAGTCTCTCTTTTTTCTCCTCGGTCTGCCGCCCTCGTTTATCGCGTCTCGCGGCTTCGCCGCTCGCGATCGCGTGCACTCCCCTTACTAAATCTGAGAAAGAGAGAGACTGCTCGTAGTCTATGCTGGATATTTGACTCGTTCTTTTTTGTCGTTCTATTGACCTCAGCTTCTCGGTCCATAAAAACGCAAAAATCGTGCCCGATATCCAGCCATCTTGACCTCACGCTTGGTCAATAAGCATAATGTTATATGGCTGGAAATCTTGACCTCACGCTTGGTCAATAAGCATAATGTTATATGGCTGGAAATTTCTTTCCCAACAGCGCGCGCTCTCATTGGTTACTTCGATGCCACATGACATCTAACAATAAAACCGTTTCCCATCAAAATCTCTGAGCTGGCAACATTGCAAAATCTATGACGTTAGAGGGTAACATTGCACTGTTACCCCCGAATGTTGACCGACGACCGCCGATACAGCCGGGTTTAATGAATTTTCAGCCATATAAAGGGGTCCCTCGGCAAACAGTTAATGTTGTTTCCCTCGGGACCATTCATTAAGCGTTTGATGTTATATCTCGCGGCCTGCGTGAAGGTTTGTAAAGGACCACCTCCCATAAATGACAAGCCATCCAAAGCAACATTTTCCAGGTCAAAGCGATAAAGTATAAGTCTCTCGTAAACGACCAGCTCGCGACCACTTTTTGGGTTGAGGGTTTCCGAAAAATTTTACTTTGTTGTAATTACCCCTTGTAAGCAGTCACCTGACCGACGCATCAGTCGTCTGATCTCCATGGTTCCCTTATCTCCCCAGAGTATAATTTTGACGAAGTGGAACTCTCCCTATTTAGGGAGATTTAGAGTGACGTTTACGGCAAACGGCAAATGTCAGATTCACGTTAGGAATTTCTCGAAAATAATAGAAAACGTGCATTTAAAACAGTCCAAAACAACTTTTTTAGACAAAACTAACGTGAAGCTACTAATTTTGGGGGTAGAAGTAATGAGCAGTTTAACACAAGTTAAGGGAAAACGTTTTTATATCGTACAAATTCACGCTTGCCGTAAAGGTGACTCTAAATCTCTCTCTTCGCCCCTTTGAGGTTGTGCGGGAGACCGGGTCGAGATGGTTGTCAAGTGCTTTGTGGGACGGTTTTGGGGGACGCATTTTCAACATGGCGGCAAATTTGTGCCCCAAAACAGTCCCACAATGCACTTTGACAACTATCTCGACCTGGTCTTCCGCGCAATCTCAAAGTGGCGAATTATCTTGATCTCTTCTCGGAAGACACCCCCTGTCGTTTGGTTCGATTCCGTTAGCACTTATGAATGGAGTACAGTATCTCAAAATTTTATTGCTGATTGATGTATGAATCTGATTCTTTATATTTTACAAGGTGTTTGGCCCGGTACTGACCGTTCTCACATTTAGAACAGCAAAAGAAGGAATAGCTTTGGCCAACAACACCAATTACGGGCTTGCAGGAAGTGTATGGACTGAAAACCTGTCCCTTGCATTAGAAGTAGCGTTGAGTATCAAGGCTGGATCATTGTGGGTCAATGGACACAATATGTTTGATGCTGCAGCAGGTTTTGGAGGTTATCGTGAGAGTGGATTTGGTCGAGACGGTGGCAAAGAGGTGAGGAGTAAATCACAGTCATGCTCACAGGCTCACTCATCTCGCAAAATAACGCGTGAAACAGCTCGGGACGGCGGAAAAACATGACCGATGACTAAGTGAACTCTTCGCTCGAACTTTGCTAAAACATTTGGGTTCAAATCTCTATTTTGGAATAAATTGTTGCCGCCTACTTCGGGACTGGCTGAACCCGAAATACATTAAGTATTGTTGCTAATGGAAATTAAAATGTTTCTCAGATGTACATATTTTGCTTTCTGCAAGCTTTTCAGACACCAATTATGTTTCTGGCGGAGCTTTACATATACAGCTGTATGTGAAGTTTACCTTACATCAGTGTGCAGCAATAAACAAACAATAGCAACTTGATTCTGATGAAAAGAAACGCGATATTGTCTTTGCAGGGAATTATTTTCTCCCCCTTTTCCCTTTTCCCAAGGAATTGTTTTCTGTTTTCCAGAAAATAAAAAAATTAACTTTCTTCCCCTTAAGAAGGGGGGCTTATTTGAGAGGGGGTGGGCTTGATTTACGGTAATAGAGACCTTTAGATTCTAAGACGAGTACGACAACGAGTACGAGATTTGTTTTAAAGCTTTTTCGCGAATTCTCAAAATATAGACTCCCCGGAGAGCTTCATTTTACCATTTTTCACTACAAACATAAGCACTCTCACCTTTAGTGAAGGAGGTTACACCCTATTCCGATCGCAAAATGATAAAACTTCTAACATTTGATAACTTGTTTTCGCCACTTCGACATTCTCGCTAAAACTCGCAGTAGAGTGACGACGGCTACCACGTTTTCCCGCCAAAATGACGGTGGTTCACGCACGCGCAATACTTAGTATTGGGAAAATCTCGTACTCGTTGTCGTACTCGTCTCAGTATCTAAAGGTCTCTAATGTGTACATCAACCTAACTAAAAGAAACCTCATATGATACATTTGCTTTTAAATTTCTAATATAACACAACCATTTTCAATAGTTCAGGTGTTTTTCTTTTGTTGCCTTTGTTTCCAGCAAAGAATCTTGATTCCTCAGAATATTTACAACCCAAAAAGGTGGAATTAATATTATCGTCCAAAATAGCATCACATTGAAAATTTAAAAGCAATAATGTTTGTATTCAGCTCCTGAGACTTGATCGTTTTCAGTCCAATTTTCCAACAAAATTGAGTTTTAGGTTGTGTTCACACTACAACGGATAGCTTTTGCGGATCAATTTAGGTTTTTGGGAAACTGACCACCTACCCCTCCCCTAAGCCAACATTTTGCCCTAAACGAGACGTGAGTGTTAATGTTGACTTAGGGGAGGGGTAGGTGGGCAGTTTCCCAGAAACCTAAATAGATACGCTTCTGCGCCGCCACGTCAGGAAATCATACCGGATAGCGCTTCTGTTCATACTCAAAAATGGTTGTGGCGGCGCAATTTCTGTGACAGAGCGAAGGTGCGCTGCTCTGATCTGTAAAGCGGAGAGTCGCATATGGGATAGGTGTTCATACTATACCGTGGGCTAGCTTTTCGTGTCGGCACGCAAAGCTAGCCCACGGTATCATAGTGTAAATATAGCTTTAGAATTTTGTTCTTGACAATGGATGTTAAACATCCTTTTAACAGAAGGACTTCTCCGTGAATCCTTTAAGTTAGTATTTGTTCCCTGCCTAATTAAGTGTATAAATGTTAAATTTTGGTGACAGGGCTTGTATGAATATGTCTGCCCATCATGGCAAACCAGAGCACGGCCATCTGTGGAGGACTATGATGTGAAGTCATTTGGATCGACTGTTCCTGCGATAGTGATGAATCCAAATTCCAATCCTGTGAAACTCCCGGAAATTGCATCAGGAAACTTAGGCGAAATTAAACCTCCAAGGTAAGAAAGAGGTCTTATGTTATTGTCACTTGTATACAGTGACATGGAATTTATACTCCTTAGTTAATGAAGCTAGTATAAGGTCTTTTATCAAGGGAAGTCTTGCAGTTAAAGTTCATGAATACGGACACTCCTGCAACTATGCCAAGTGTGGGAATCACCGAGAGGTGTGTGAAGTCTGTATGTTTGTTTGTTGACGTAGAAAACTGTCCGTAAAACAGAGGCCTCATTGAGGAAAGACTCAGTTGTAATTGGTATGTACGAAGGCTTTATTCGTTTACCGTGGTTACAAACCCAAGGATTTTCCATCGTACTCATGATGCGAGCCCAAAAACCTTGAACGCTTTGATTTTTAATAGGTCAATTGTCTATTCACCAATCAGACATCACTTGTTACACAGTCGCGTTAGCTGTCTCTAGGCCGTAACAGTGACAACACTTGTAGCTTTTTCTTTGTTTTCTTTTCGTTTTTTTCAGTATTGATCACACTTACAAAGTTTACATTGGAGGGGCTCAGAAGCGACCGGACGGAAACTACTCTCGACCCGTACAAAACCCCTCAGGGGAAGTTATAGGACAAGTGGCTGACGGAAGCAGAAAGGACATCAGAGATGCTGTGGAGGCCGCACATAAAGCAGCACCAGGGTGCGTATATTGTTAGGGAGCAGGGTGTTAAAGGCTATGGTCACACTATACCCGCAGATAGCTTTTCGTGCCGTCCCAAAAAGCTATAGGTAACTGGCAAAGATATATTGTTTGGTATTATTGAATGTGAGGACGAGATATTTGGGAATCATATTTTACTACTGGAAAAACAATACCTATACTCTTGTAGACAGAACAAACATTCTCCCTCCATTAGAGTTCTTAATTCTAAAATTAAACACTGTTTTCTAATCGAGACAACGATCGCTAAGTCAGACAATAAGTTAGAGACCCACGATATGAAATGCAGCACATATAAAGTTGAGTCGTATACGATCATTTCGCCGCTTTCTTCATTTATTAATTTTTCATGTAAATAGAGAAGAATGTACTGGGGTGTGTTTTTATCAGTATGTAATTGTGTGTGTGCGATGTGTATATGGTTAGTTTTCTTTTCGTTCTTTTTTGTTTTTGTATTTTTCTTTCGTCTTCATACAAATGTAAGGATCAGTGTGTAAAACATTGTAACACATAAATTTATTGTAAGACGAAATAAAATTTATTAAAATACCAAAAAAAATATAGGTAACTAGCCAGACCTTCTGGAGTTTAAGATGATTTTTTATCACCTTTTTCCTTAGCTGGGGCAAGAGAGCCGCCCATAACAGAGCTCAAATTGTTTACTACATGGCGGAAAATTTAGAGCTGCGACGCAGTGAGTTTAGTCAGAGACTGTGCGATATGACAGGCTGCTCGCAGGAGGAGGCCAGCAAGGAAGTCGATATCGCAATACAGCGGCTGTTTTACTGGGGTGCTTATGCAGATAAATATGGAGGTACTGTACAGGTAGGTGTGAGAATAAACCAGCTAATGTTAACAAGAATATCGTGTTGGACGAAATTTTTGCGGAGTTTATTTTTGGCGATTTGTGGTTTCTTGCGGGGACCAATTTTTGCGATTAGGACAGATTGGTTTTTCTTTGCTGGGAATTAATTTTTGCGATTTTCAGAAATTACCCAGTATCCAGCATTGATAATATTTTCGTTTTTTTAAGTACGTGCAATAGAATACATACTCTCAAACAATACTATGGGATGCGTACGCTACACAAAACCAGTAATTCATTGTATACCGTTTTGTTTCTGAATGAAAGAAGGACGATTTCAGACAGACACGATTTCTTCGTAATGTCTTGTGTAACGAATTTAAGGTAGAGAATAGTAACTGTGGAGTAAATTTTTGCGGGAAAAATGTTTGCGGTAATTTTTATTTGCGGGAACTTGTTTTTGCGGATCGCTTATAAAAATCGCAAAAATCACAAAACTTTCGTGCCACACGGTAGGTACAAAATGTAGGCATTAATACAGTAGATGGAAAATGATAGTCAGGTTGTTTGTAGTCTTGAATAGGACTTACGGACAGTGACTGATGACAAACTGTTCGATGGTCATCTTCCGAGTTAAATGTGCGTGAATATAACTACCGCACGGGTTGTCATTAGTCACTCTCCACTAGTCCTATTCAGGACAACACCCACCCGGACAATCATATCCCACCGACATTTATCATAACTCCTGTGTTCAAACCACTCACTAAGACAATGTAGAGAGTTAATTCGCATTTGTATTAACTTGCTCGGTCGCTCAACTTGCCGACTTCCTTGACTAACTCGCTAACATCTTTTCCCTGGGGTTTTTGGTAGGGGACACTCCCTTTCCGAAGTAGTTCAGGCAGCTGGTATCATTTATCAGTGTGCGTGCTGCAGAGGATAGTCGAAACTAGGGCTGGAAAACCCCCTCCATCCCAAATTCCTCAAGAATCCCCCTTGGGCGTCTTTGATTCTTCTTTGGTACCTGGGGGTACGCTGAGAATAAAACCCACTAAAATACTTCAACCTTTTGCGAAGACGTTCTCAACGGAACTTTCCATAATGTTAACTAGAGAGTAGAAGGGCGAGTTTACCAAAGTGGTAGGCGAGTTGCTACGTTGCAAAAACAAGTTACCATGGTCACGTGTTTGTGGCAGGAAACTGTCTACTTGCCATTTGGACTTTCATGTTCTCCAAGCAACTTTCCAGGAGCCACTTTAAGGCCATGTCTGAAGTATTCTGCAGTCAACACTCTCTAAGACGGACGCCTTTGGGATCGGTTCTAAGTGTCCGTTTTCGAGAGATGTCCGTCGTATTGAGAATAAAGATAGGCAGGGACCAACTCTAGTTTCCGTTTTAGAAAGGTGTCCGTCTTATGTAGGTGTCGGGTGTATTGTTTTTAAGTCAGTAGTTAAGATACATCTTAATTTAAGGGAACCTCGTGAATATGGCACCATGAACAAGTCTTATAGGCAAAATCTCAAAGCTGTTGCCCCTTGTTTAACTTCCACATGCAAAGATTCGTTTTCAACCGTGGCAGGATTACCTCAGTCGGTAGAGCGCTTGACTGAAGAACGGGAGCTCCCGGGTTCGATTCCCGGGAGCGGACCAACACTCAGGGTCTTAAAATAACTGAGGAAAATGAAGGTACTCCCTTTGCACTGCAAGCGGATGGACGTACCTTTGCGTGGCTCGGATGACCACGCAAAATGGCGGCCCCATCTCCAGTAGGAGACGTAAAAATAATGTCCGCAATTAGTACTTTCGTGCTTAATACATTGACACTCAAATAAAGCGCTTTTTTGAACTCGCAGTAAGATGTTTTGTTTGCTAACCATGTACATTTTCTTCGTGGCTTTTATATTTTCCTCTCTCTCCCCTCCCTAAGGAAACGCCGTTCTATGGTGCTACAGTTAAGATCCATGAGCCTGTAGGGGTGATAGGCATTGCTTGTCCTGACACGTGTCCCTTACTGGCCTTTGTGTCGCTACTGGCGCCTGCAGTCATCCGAGGTAACACTGTTGTTATCTCACCAAGTCAGAAACATCCCATGATTGCTGTGGATATGTACCAGGTACCAATCATGTCCATATTCTGTGCGTTAGTACTGTTTTTTGATCGTGGACCACTGAGTTCAAAATTTTTCTGTGCTTTCAGGTGATCATAATCGTTTTCTTCTTTAATTATGAGACCATAAATAATATGTTTATTCGGCAACAAGAAGTTTATTTTTTCCCGCGATTATCGATTGAACATATTCTATGATCGATTGTCGATTATAATAAATTTTTCGGCACACAATTGTTGTGTATGAATACTCGAATAAGCGCCCATCCTATGGCCTTAAGTTTGAAACATGCCTCTTCTTACTCGACCTCTTTTCTTTTCATAACCGACAAAGGCGGAGCACTATGTTTTAAAATCATGTTTAATCTTAAGCGGAGCATTTTTTTTACGACCATGTGGCTTTCTCGTTCACTGCATCATTGGGGAGCTTAACCAACAAGGACGACAGTAAAAACATCACTAAACATGAATTTGCGTTCTTTCAAACTTTATCGCGTCTATTTGGACCCGCTCAATTCGTCAAATGTAGGCGACTTTTCCTGGATTTAAATTCTTAAGGACTTTATCCATGTTGAAATAGAGAAAGGAAAATTTGTCGTCGTATGTCCACGTCCTCCATAAAACGTCGCCTTGGGAGGTTTCACGTCGTAGTGGTGCAGTGGACGTCAAAGAATTGTACTAAGAAGCGTGATGCACGTGCAGAGCAGTTGTTTTGCTCATAAAACCAATTGTTTTTTGACGCTGTCGTCGTCGTCTTCGTCGTCGTCGTCGTCATAGTTGCTTAAGCTCCCTATTACAGTACAAGTAACACGCGGTCTAGCTCATTCTGAAACATCTCGTGGATGGCCCGGCTCCAACACTGAAAAAATGTCCCGGCAGATGTTCAAAATCTGATCCTCAAAATTTAACAAAGAATGTTTGCCGTGGATTTATTAAATTGGCTGGCAGTTTCAATTGTTACTTCTAATCCCGATGGTAAGTGGCGAAAAGAAGGGCCGGAATTACCAACACGTCTTCCAATTTTTCAACTCAAATTTGAACGCCGGAAATATTACCCTATGCCTTATAGGTGATGTTACACGAAACGATTCGCAACGATGATTTTTAGCGCAACACAGCGTTGCATTGTTGGAGCAATGTTGTAACCATTCGAAACAATGTCGCAACAATGTTGCCACCCTGCGTTGCGCTTAAAATCGTCGTTGCGAATCGTCAAGTGTAACATCACCTTATGTCGAACCACGTTCAAACGACGGTGTTAGCGGTCCATTTTGCCGCGCTTTTTGCGATAACTGCGGAATTTTAGGTTACAGTTTGTGTTAAAATTTTTTACAGTGTCTCCGGCAAGGTTCGTTCGTTCGTTCAATGCGGAACATTGCATATTTTTTCTCGCTTCCTTTCTGTAGATTTTTGACACATCGGACTTGCCCGGTGGTGTTGTAAACATCGTCACAGGGGACCGCGATCACCTCACTAAATACCTGTCCGAACATCAGGACGTTCAAGCCATGTGGTACTTTGGCTCAGCGGAGGGAAGCAAATTTGTGGAGTGGTCATCAGCGGTCAACGTGAAACGTACCTTTGTAAACTACGGTCAGAGCCGAGACTGGCTTGACAACTCTCAGGGGCAGGGTGAGGAGTTTTTGTTCCACTCTACCGAGTGCAAGAACGTATGGCTTCCGATGGGAGACATCTTTGCCAATTAGTCGGCTTGTGAGGTGACTGCCCACTTGGATACGCATGTCAGCTCATTGCTGTAGTTACAACTGAGTTACAACTGATTGAATAAGGGTGTGATTGAAAGCTGCTGATGATACGTATGATAACTCTCACAAGGCTTTTCTCGAACAAAAAGAAACGAGTAAGGGCTAGGGAGAGGAGGGAAAGTGGAAGTTTGAAGAGGAAAGAGGACATAAATAATTTTCGGGAATAGGCCACTTCCGAGTTCCAAAAACCCTCACTTTCAAAATGAGGCCAAGTGCACAACCTTTCTGGTGAAAATGAGTTTTACTTGCATGAGATTGAAAAACATTTCCATATCAAAGGCTGAGCACTTAACCTCGTTTTGATACAGAGGCCCGAGGGAACTCGGAAATGACATATTTTTGTTTGCACGTGACGTCACGGCGGCCATGTTGATGATCAAGAACTAAAGCATCTCTCTCCTTTGACTAAACTCCATTTTCATGCAAATTCTTCATGAAATAATTCTGTTGTATTGACCACCAACATGGCTTCCTTGTCACGTGGTTGCAAACCAAGAATATCTTTTCCTAATTCTGGACGGCTTATGATTCGATCATGATATTTACAGCTTCGAACTGAGTTATTTTAAAACACGAGACGGGTTTCAGTAAAAATAAAAAATGGGCAAAGTATCTGATACTGGGGGGTGATTTACAAGAAAAGCGCATACCAAAAATTGCATTGTGCACGATTTTTTTGCCCTCGCTTCTTTGCATGAGAAATTTCATTCGTTCGCAGCGCTAAGTCGTCAATGTTTTTCTTTCGTTTTTTATGGTCTTTACTTTAATAATTTATAAAATGACCTAATGCAAGTTGATATACTCGGGGAATAGAAAAACTTTACAGTGAAATATCGATTATGAACTTCCCTGCAGCATATATCTTTATTTCCTAATTGTTATGTTGGTGTGTATGAAAACTGTTGGTCACTATACTTTCACTCGTTGGGTAAACACTCAGGTTACGACAACATAATCACTTTTTTTTTCATTTGCTACTCACTGTAAAACTCAAAGCATACAACCAAGGGGATGTACTTTTTGTTGTAAAGTAGTACCTTTTTGGATAATGTGTTATAATTTGTGCAACTGTACAAATTTTAAAATATGGTACTGTAGGGTAGTAATTAACATAAATACTAAATAAATTGACTAGTTGTAGTAAATTAACTGGTGTTCACAAGAAAAACGAAGGGATATTTCTCTACAGTCTTAATCTTTGTAGTTAAGCCTGAATGTTTATGATTAAAATTATTGATACAGCGGAAACGACTGAAATAAATTGACTGAAAAAAACAACAACATAGAATCTACTTTTAAGTAAATAAGACAATTAATAGCCAAACCATAAAGTAATAAATTAAGATAGATCTACATTTATAAACTTCTACTCCGCCTGGACAGAAAGTGTGCGAGTGTGCGAAACACCGAAAAGACTGAGCACGCTATTGGGAAGAGAAACTGACCTTATATAAGAAACCCACAATGCGTAGACACGTATAGGGTAGCCACGGGCTTTACGCGGCGTGCTAGTGTTACCTAATAGAATTAAAGGCTATTTCATTGTGGAGTGCTTAGAAAGAATTACTTTTCCTGTTACATGTTGGCATCATTGAACGGTGTATGGTTTGATACTGCGTAGATAAGTTGAGCTATTACCCCATCGTTTTTTTTTTAGACAACTCAGTGCTATTTAAAAAAAGTTATTGAGTGAGGTTATAATCAGGGGCACCCAACAAGAAGATAGTTTAAAACCACTTAAACATAGCATTGTTGAACGTATTTTAGTATTTTAACGGTAAGCTACGGTAGATAGAGGCATATTTTTTATCCTTTGAAAATTTTTCATCTGTTCGGATTTCCTAGCTGAAAGTCTTGTGATCCGAAAATTGTAGGGATCAAAACTTACCTTTTCGAAAATTTCAGCCAGAAAAAGGCTCCCGAAAATTCTAGGTGACCTTTTTTAGGGTAAAAATCCGTTAAAAATGGGCAATTATGCCATTTTTGGGTGGTTCGAAAATCCTAGGAGAGGCAGGCAAGCAAGAAATTCAACAACAAATGTTCCGAAAATTCTAGATCTCAAATATTGATTCCTCAAATAGTGATGGTTATCAAAAGATAAACTCACTGGCACAGATAAACGGTTTCAAATCCATCCGACCAGTACAAATCTGCTAGTTCTCTCACTTTTGAATCGTCTAAATAAGTCAAAGACGTAAACTGGCCGTCTGGCAAGACATCTGCTAGGCTCATTCGCGGAATGTGCAGATCTCATTTGCATTCCTATCCGTGATATTTTTAACCAATCAATAAGTCAAGGCATATTACCGGATGACTGGAAATGCGCAAAGGTCACCCCACTTTTTAAACAAGGCGATCGGGACGACTTAAAGAATTATCGTCCAATTTCTGTGATCTCAGTTATGGCCAAGGTCTTTGAAAGAATCGTCTATGATCAATTATATGCCTACCTAGAAGAGCACAATATAATCTGTAAATATCAATCAGGCCTTCGCGCTATTCACTCAACTGTCACGGCTCTCCTTGAGGCCACGGACACTCGGGCGTACAATATTGACCGCGGTAAAATCAATGCCGTTGTTTTCTTAGATCTCAAAAACAGGCCTTCGACACAGTTGACCATGAGATCCTTTTATCAAAATTAATAAGAAGGAAAGGACCAAAACAATTACGGCATATATGGTAACGCGCACCAATGGTTTAAGTCGTATTTATCATGTAAGAATCGTACTCAAATGTGCTCCATCAACGGGTCGCTCTCTCAAAGCTGTTTATTAAGTTGTGGTGTTCCCCAGGGGACGATTTTAGGTCCATTATTATTTCTGTTATACATCAACGATCTTCCAAACTGTCTTTCAAATTGTGAGCCGAGGATGTACGCAGATGACACCCACCTTACGTACGCAGGTGATAATGCAGACAATATTCAGTTGCATCTAAATCAAGATTTAGAAAATGTTCACAATTGGCTGAGAGCGAACAAACTTACTCTGAATATGACTAAAGCCGAATTTATGCTTATCGGATCTAGGCAGAGGCTAAGTACTCTCACAGAGTCCCCGACATTTGCAATTAATGATTTTGAAGTTAGCCAGGTCACTACTGCAAAATCACTTGGAGTGACCATCGATGACAGACTTGATTGGAGTGCCCATATGGAGAAAGTAACAAAGAAAGTCGCTTCTGGTATTGGGGCCATAAAACGAATAAGGCACCTTGTCCCTCAGGCGACCTTACAACTATTATATCAAGCTTTAATACAGCCACACTTTAATTATTGCAACATTGTTTGGGGAAACTGTGGGATAACGTTACGGAATAAGGTTCAAAAGCTACAAAACAGAGCAGCCCGTGTTTTGACCTACTCAAGCTATGACGTAGATGCTGGTCACCTTTTCAAACTTCTGGGGTGGAAAAACCTAGCTTGCCAGCAACAATTTCAAAGAGCTACGATGGTTTACAGGTCTCTGCACGGGTTGGCTCCAAACTATCTTGGTTCTAAATTTGAAATGCGAGAAGTCGCATATAACCTAAGGGACTGAAAATAAACTCAATGTTCCATTACCGCGCACAAACTATTACAAAAACAGCTTCAGCTATAGTGGCGCCATTCTCTGGAACAGTCTTCCTTGTAACTTACGGGAAGCAGAGTCCCTTGGGCAATTTAAACGATTACTCAAAGAACTGTAAGGCACGGCATTCGTGGAAAGCAGCTTTTTTATTTAAATATTTTTATTATATTAGTATTAGGCATTTTTAAAGCTGACGAATTTTGTACCGTGGATAAATAAAGATTATCTATCTATCTCTATCTATCTATCGTCTTCCGAACAGATATTTTCCAAAAATTGTCGTTGGGTGCCCCTGTTATAATGCGCTTAGTCAATGTGAAATCTAAGTTACTCACAAAATCATAACGGATCAACACCCTGCCTTCCATCGCCCAAAGTTGGGAACGCGCACTTAAAAACGTCATTCGTAGTGCCGGGAGCGGCCGAGGGCCTGCACTATCGACCTTCGAGTGTTATTGGGGCTAAGGGCTGTCGTTGTTCCTGTAATTGCTATAAAAGAAAGGAATAGTCCAATATGACTCTCTTATTTTTTATTTATTTTTGTCCCTTACACAATAATTCAGTGTAGGCATTTTGTAGCTGATCATTCACCTGGTACAAAACCATCACGCCAGAACGTAAGGGACTCACTGGGACAAGAAAAACAAAAGGCGTACATCACTTAAAATGCTAATTTCCATTGTTTGTCTTGTGTCAGTGTGACCCTTGCTCTCTAGCGTGGTCGGTTTTGTACCATGTGAATAGGGAGCTTAAGCAACAACGACGGCTTAACAAGTGAAGTCGCGCTGCTTCAAACTTTATCGCCGCTTATTCTCTCTCATGCAACTCGTCAAAACTTGGCATTTTTATTTCTGGAGTTGAATTCTAAAAGACTGTATCGAAGTTCAGAAAAAGAAGAAGAAAGTCGTTGCCTTGCCGGTTCACGTCCTCCACAAAACGTGAAATAAGGTATTTTCACGTCATAGTCGTGCAGTGACAGGGGAATGTACAAAAAAGCGTGATGCACGTGCAGATAGAGTTGTTGTTTTTGCCGTTCTCGTTGATGTCGCAGTCGTCGTTGCTTAAGCTCCTTTATGACAAGCTGAGAAGACCCCATTGCAGTTTTAGTTTCCTTTTACATTATATTGTTTCTTCCATCGACGTTGCCGAGTTTTGTTTACTTTTGGCTTCGATCATCAATGAAGTCAGCTTGTCAACTAAGGGATCCTCTTGCAAACAAGACCAAGCCAGAGGCGCGTATAGTAGGCTTTTGTACATTATGATAGCAATTTTTCGAGCATTTTAGTGAGGCAAAATCATTGAGCATTATTCGAGCATTTTAGTGGCATTTTCTCGGAAAATTAATTTTTCCGAGAAAATAAAATAGAAATTAACTTTTTTCAGGAGCTCATGCCCCACGAGCTCCTGCGTTTTTAAAGAAAATGAAGACTAAAACTTAAAATTCACAAAAAACCTAATACAGCTGGGTTTTTTGGCTGTATTTATGAACTTGTACACGTTATCGTTGTTACTTGCAACACTTGCACGTTTTTGTAAGTGCAAACTTTGAAATTAATTAAAAAAGCGTTTGTATAATGAGCATTATCCGAGCATTTTAGTGACTTTATTGGCGAGACCGAGCATTTTAGTGGGAAAAATGGAGCATTAAGGTGGAGCATTTTAGTGGGGAAGCAAAAGCATAATGTACAAAAGCCTAGCGGATAGGTGGATAGGCAGGTAGGGTGATTCCGGCCCAGTCCACTTGGACTGCATGGTTCCTGCGCTTTTCCGATCGGTTCTTTGGGAGCCTAGTACTTTGAAGCCGTTGTCCGTACGTAATGATCGAGAATCCGGCGCCAGATAAAAAACTTCGATTTTATTTTTAATTCACCAAAAACACTCTTGTAAACAATATTCTAAAGTTTCAGCGAAGCTCCGTGATTGCGAAAAATAGGAAAGTTTAAAATCGGCCTATTTAAAACATGGCCAAAGGCCCGATGGAAATTGTACAAATTAGGGAATATTTAAAACGCCCGTAGGAAAAAATGAAAGCTAGTCTTTACTTCATCTTGATCTAGGCTTTCTTTCTATTTTTTACACTCGTGCAAAGAAAGTAATGTTTCGTCATTTGTTGACAGCGTGAATCTTACCATATATTAGAAGGCTATAACACCAAGGGAATATATTTATTTAGCGGTTGTGAAAGTTATCTTTTCAAAGAACTGTTCACCCTGTTTGTCATAGTAAACGCTTTTTTCTGGCGGCCAAAAGCGTGCGCGCTAGAAAAAAAATAAGTGCCAGCGCGTGCTACTTTTTCTGTCTACAGGTGTAACAGACGACGCTGTGCTACTTGCGCAGTAATTCAACCCTTACGTTTCTTCCGAAGCTCCTTGACTCTCCGTCAGTATACAGTTATTAGCGCCTGTGACCTCTCTTGCTCCACCACTAATGTTGTATATCTTATAAGCTGCGCTAAATGCGATCAGCAGTACGTTGGGGAAACAAAAAGAAAGGTCAGTGAGCGCCTATCAGGTCATCGCTCTTCTATCAGGAAACACGCTAACACTTTCATCGCCAGGCATTTCAATTTACCCGGACATACTGTGGATGACATCAGAATACAACCTATTGAGCACATCACGCAGAGCCCTGGAGAGACCGAGCAGGATGTTACCATTAGACGTTTAGATCGTGAACGGTTTGGGATGTTAGAACTTGGCACTATGTATCCTTAT